ACTGAGGCCCAACGCCTGGAAGAGACTTGCTCGAGATTACCATTTTTTCCTTCCCAATTTTTTACTGCATGTCTGCTTGGTGCCAGGCACTGTACAGGCTCTGGGCCCACCGTGGGGAACAATCAGAGCAGCTCCCAATCCCATGAGACCCCAGGCTAACATGGGAGACAGATAAATGACCAGGTGATGAGGGACGTGCAGGGGCTTTGTGAAGAAAGAGGCAGAGGACCCAACCTAGCTGGGGGGTGGCAGTGGGGTCAAGGAAGTCTTCCTGGAGGAGGTGAGACCCAAAAGATGAGTAGGAGTCTGCCAGGTGAGATGAGAAAGATGAGAAGACTGGGGGTTATTGGTAGAACTAGGCCTGGAAGTTGGGTCTTCCGGCTCCCAGCCCTGGGCTCTTGTAGCTGAGCAGCTGGACTGCTCTTACAGCCTGCCCCTCCCTCGCTCCGTCATGGCTGAGGTCCACGGTCCAAGCTTGGTGCAGCTTGGTCCCACCCTTCAGAATGGAGGACGAGGGGAACATGGGCCGCACATCTCACGTTGCCTGCTAGGGAACTCTCTTGAACCTTCCTTCTTGCCTTGCTACCCTGCAGAGGGCCGACCCCCTGAAAGTGTACCCACAGCTGAAGGGGAGCTTCCAAGAGAACCTGAAGCACCTCAAGAGCACCATGGATGGCCTGGACTGGAAGGTCGGCGGGTTTCCCGCACTCGCGCTCTCTCTTTCCTGACGTCCAAAGCAGGGCCGGGAAGGGGTGGGGTGAGGCGTGGCCCAGGGAGGCCGTCCTCCCAAAGCTGGAGGAGGCTGACCAGCACTTACACAGACACGGAGTGCTTAGAGTTGAGGAGCCACCTCGACTGAGCCCCGTGGGTCTCTAAGGGGAGCCAGGCGGTACTGGCCTCTGGGGTGTTGGGACCCTGTCCGGCCCTCCACGTCTCTGTCCCCAGGAGCAAAGCCAGGCAGGGTTGCAGAGGGCTATTGAGCCTGACCCCCTGCCTCTATCCCCATTAGGTCTTTGAGAACTGGATGCATCAGTGGCTCTTGTTTGAAATGAGCAGGAACTCGCTGGAGGAGAAGCCCACTCAGGGTCCGACAAAAGGTACAGGGAGTGGGCGTGGGTGCCGGCTCTGGGAGCTCCCTCAGGGCTCCTGTGGAGCTGCACAGGTTGGGGCCCGGGGCACTTCCCCATCCAAGCACTGGACTCTCCAGCCACGCTCACCGCTCACTCCTGTCTTTCCCACCTGTTCCTTCTGGGCTCGGCTGCCCCTCAGCCCCATCCTGTCTGAGGCCCCATAGGGCAGAGGCATCCCTGCAGGAGGTGACCTCCCTTATGGAGGATCGCACTGCACAAGTGGACTGGAGCAAAAGCCACCCGTCACACCCCAGGAGTCATCACAATGGCCTTCCCCGCCCTGCACTGCACTCCACGGATTCCAGCGAGGGGGCTGGGTTCAGAGAGACCTCCTCGAGGTCACACAGTCAGTGGGTGCCAGACAAGGGGGCCTTGGAGTTGTTCCATCTGGTGGACAGTGTAGACCAGGATTTTCAGCCCTAAAGCCTTTAAGAGCGCCGTGTCCTCCTGGTGCTGTCTGATGTGCTGTGCAACTTTGGACAAGTCTCTGCCCTCTAAGCTTTGGGTTCAGAGATGGCAGATCAACGGCCCACCCCGCCATGGGCCTGACTTTTCTATCACAGATTCATAGAAGGCACCTTGGATGCTATCTCCACCGACTCCCAGCTGATGTTTGAATCCCCTCTACAGCATCCCAAAACAAACCCCCATTTCTACTTGGCTACCCCCAGTAACAGAAGCTCAGACTTACCAAGGTGTCCATTGCTTTTCCCTAGAAATCAGAATCATAGGTGCAATTCCAACCTTTAATAGGCATTGAGTATCAGAAGAAATCAGCAAACTCTGAGATGAATTAGCCGCACAGCCCTTCCCTTCCTCTTTGATCTTGGACCCTGTTGGTCCAGACCTCAGTTTCCCTATCTGTGCAATAGGTAGAGCGAGAGTACAGTCACTTGGGCAGAAGGTATTGGACCCAAAGCATTGGTATGTGGATCTCTGGTTCTGCTGAGTCCCGGGCCCAGAGCCCGCTCACTCACTGTGTTCGCCGTGCCTGTCGCTTCAGTACTGACCAAGTGCCAGGAAGAGGTCAGCCGCATCCCTGCCATCCACCCGGGCGTGTTCAAGCCCAAGTGCGACGAGAACGGCAACTATATGCCGCTCCAGTGCTATGGGAGCACCGGCTACTGCTGGTGCGTCTTCCCCAACGGCACCGAGGTCCCCCACACCAGGAGCCGCGGGCACCACAACTGCAGTGGTAAGCAGTGGCCCCGTGCCAGGGAGCATCGGAGGAGCAGGAAGGAGCAGGAAGGCCGAGGGGCAGTAAGATCCCTCCTGGGGCACTTGGGACCAGGACATTCGAGGGGGCAGCTCCCAGGGGGCAGCCACTCTGCCATGTGATCCCCCCTTTATCCCTCCACCTACCTGCGCATTCTTCATCTGTTTGTCCGTCTGTCATTTCTCCCCTTACATCCACGCTCATCTACTTATTTACCCTTCGATCCTTTCACGGTGATTTGCACCATCCGTGCCCCATCCACTCATGCCTCCAGGAGCGCTACAGATCCACCCTGCTCATCTCATCAACTGCTTCCTTGGCCTTGCTCACTCACTTCCCCATACTTCAGCCACCACCCAGCAAGCGTCTTTCCATTTGATTTGGCACCTGCTCTGGCAGGCACTAGGCCTGTGGCTAGGTTGGAAAGAACTAGCCCCAGGCCCCTTGCCAGTGGGTGTGGTAGGCTGGATGGTGAGTAACAAATGGATTTGCTGCTCCTTTGCAGAACCCCTGGAAATCGAGGATCTGTCGTCTGGGGTGGGCATGGCCAAGTAGGATCTCAGCCAAGGTAAGGGCCCCTGCGGGGAGACTGATCCCCAGCAGCTCATCCCTAGAGGGGCTGACTCCCTCATGGGTGGATGGCCAGCGCAGCATGACCCCGGGCCATTCTCCAGCCTCCCTGGGTCATCTGTTTCATAGATGAGGACTGGGGGTTGTGGGGGGCTACATGATGGTCAATACTTGCACCCGAGCAGGCGGCAGTGGAGGGTGGGGAGTCCTCGACTGCTCTGAGGCCCCAGGATGCTGGGAAGGGGTAGGGACATAGGGCAACCCCAACCGTAACCTGCTGCATTGTCTCTCCGTAGTCATCCTATGAGAACAGCAGACGCAGCCGCCAGCACCCAGCCAGCCCTGCATGGCCGCAACTCCCTTGTGCCCTTCTGTCCCCCAACCCTAGGTCCTCTCCTGCCCTTACACCCAACCCCCTGCACCTGCCGTCACCCACCCTGCACCTCATTCCCTGAGACTCTGGTGCCTGGCTCTCCATCATCCTGAGACGAGAAATCACCTCAGAACAGCACAGATTAACAACGCAGGGTCCCCAACACTGCCCATCAGCAGGGACACCACACCCAAGGAGGTGGGCCAAGACCTGGGCTGACCCCCATTTCTGACGCCACAGCAGCCGCTAGCATGGAGCTCCAAGATCTAGGCCCCTGGACGAGGCAGGCAGGTGCAGGGAGAGGGGGCGACGCTCCCCCAAGTCCAACACATTTGCTCTCCCTCCCCTCTGGCTTTTGGCCTCAGCATTCCAGCCTGTTTAACTAGGGGGATGAGCCACCCTTTCTGTCCCCAGCATCACTCGGCCAGGAAGAACCAGCCTCTCCACCCACAACCCCTCCTCACTCTCTGCCAACCCCTAGTTCCCTCTGCTCAGCAAGCTTGTCACCAGCCCCTAGGGCGGCGGCTCCTGTAAGAATAAAAGGTAGTAAGTAGACCATTTCTGGCTCCTGGCTGTTCTGTTGGGATCTGGGTCATTTACCCCAAGGAGGTAACTGAAGACCTTGAACCCAGTGCTCTGGGTGGGAGAATGCAGTCCAGGGAACCCAAACACAGATGCCTGGGGGGCCGGACTGCGGGGCTTGTAGACTTCAGACACAGACACACTTGATTTCCACATTTAACACAGAGGAACACTGGTTACTTTCAAAAAGAAATAGGCTCTTGCCCATAGTTTTTTAAGCTCAAGCTCCTCTGGGTCCAGCTTCCATTGCCCCACGTCCCCATTTCCACCTCTCCTAAGAACAGTACAAGCAAGACGACCAACAGCAACGACACAAGGGCCCAGCTGGCTGTTGTCAGGATGGAGCAGAGGCCCCTGCTGGCAGGCTTCTTGACTTTAAGAGGAGCCCAGAGTGAAGAAGTTCAGTGAAATCGTGCTCCACTTCTAAGTATAAAGACTTACTGTGGGTCAACGAAGCCCAAGAGAACACTACCCTGCAGCCTCTTGTAGACCAACGCTTACGGGAGAGCGAGGCTCCCCAGGGGGAGGGCAGGGCCGGGTGCAAAGCTGGGTCTCCAGCCCTCCAGCCCAGCGCTCTCTCCACACGGCCTCCTGCTGTCTCTAGCAGAAGGCTAACAGCCTCGGAGGGGATCTCCACGGCCTCTGACTGCTGGCCGTCACCGCGGCCCTAGACTTCACCCTGACACATCTTCAAGTTGGTCCACTTCTCTTCATCATCACAGCCCCTTTGTTACCCGGACATGAGGGCAACTCAGTCCTAACTGGTTTTCCTGCTTCTACTGTGCCTGCCACAGCTATTCTCCACCAGGTACCTCAAGAGGGCCTGCCCTAGCTCAGGCCTAACTTCAAAAGGGGGCTCGGAAAGCCTCCTTCCATTTCTTGCCTGGCCTACCCCAGCATCTGGAGACTTGAGCTCCCCCTTAGCTTAGATGCTACCTCCTCCAGGAAGCCTTCCCCACCCCAATTCAGCACCCTGGGCACTTCAGAGTCTCCTTCTCTGGCAAACTGTCCCACTCCCTATGGTGTCCACAGCCTCGATACGCAGTCAAGAACAAATCCTGAGTGATGTTTGTTCTGCTCCGACTATCAGCCAGACTCTCCCTTCCAAGAATAAGTCAACTGCAAAACGTTTGCCCCAGTGTACCAGGAACTTGTACCTTTCCTTCAAGTCTTTTATTTTCTGAGTTCTTACAAAAAAAGAAAAACACAAACAAAATGGGGAAGAACTGACAAACGGAGGATAAGGCCTCAGCAGGAGCTGGAGACCAAAGACATGGAAGGAGCCACAGGCTGGGCCTCGCTGGGTCTGCAGGCCAGACAGGTGGAAAGTCCGGAGGGGGCTGAGGGGGCAGGTTGGGCTGGAGGGGCGAGGGGCAGATCACTTAAAAAAATATATATATACTGTACACATCTATACGAAGCGTTGTGTGTCGGGAGGGGGTCAGGCGCGGCGTCAGTGAGTGCAGGTCACGGGAGCGGGGGGGCACTTCCTCCTCCCGGCACCAGCCTCTCTGCAGGGCTCACTGGCTCAGCCAGAGCGGACAGTGTGGCTAGCTGTCTTCTTCTGGAGAGGGAGGGGAAGTCACAAATTCAATTCCAACCCATGGTGGGCAGAGGCGTGGGGCTGGTCACTGCTTGTCTGAGAAATCCCTGGGGGAAGGAAACACAGCCCGACGTAAGATTTCCCGATCAAAGAGAATAAAATAAACTCATAAGCTGGCATCTCTGAGGCAGGGGAGGGCATTAACCACCCACAGCGGACACTTCCGAGCACTGTCCATGTCCCAGGAACCGGGCTGCGAGCTCTAGCGCTTCCCTTCCTCTAGCCCTCACAGCAGCCGGGCGGTGGCGCTGCCCCAGTTACAGGAGGCTGGGGGCGGGCGGGCCACCTAACCCTTTACCCCACCCGGGAGGCACAGGTCCATGGGGATGGCTTGTTTGGAGCAAACCCTCTTCTCCCCATAGGAAATGTCCTCAAGGGACAAAATCATAAGGAAAAGGAACTAAGCTGTGGGGGAGACAGAGCTGTACCCGACCTCAAGCCTTATCCTCATCTACAAGGAGGACTAGACCAGTCCCACCTCCCTAAGGACGGGCAGCACGTGCACCTGGCGCTCAGGGTCAGCCACTGCCATCACTGTCCTGGATCCTTCTACTTCTGCAGCTCTGGCTCCCGCCATCACCCCCAGACCTCGAGGAACGGAACCTCTTTCTCCAGCCTCCCCTTCCCCTTGGGGCCTACCTACCAGGCCCTGCCTGGCTCCCTGGGACCACAGCAGATGCTGGAGCTGCCCTCCCACCCTCGCCCGGGAGAGGATGGTCAGCAGGGGTTCCTGGGCTAGGAAGCGTACCTGCCGCTTTGTGCCCCTCAGACAGTCTGCTCTGCCGCCTTCTTCTGTGAGGAGAGAAGTGTGAGAGGCTCTTGTACTTGAAGCACCTCCCCACCCATGGTGCCCCCACCAGGAGGGGATGTGACGGTTCCCTCCTGAGGATTCACGGCTCCCCCAGAACAGATATTGGGTAGAGACCCCCTACGGCAGGGACGGTGTCCTGTGTGCCCTCAAGGAAGGAGCCCAGGACTTTGCAGCAAGAGATGTTCAGCTTTTCTGAACACAGCCGAGGCCCTGCTGGCCACAGTGAGAACTGCTTCTGGATAAGGTGCTGAGGCTCCCTCTTCAGGCCATCACCCGTGAAGCACACAGGTGTGTGTTTCTGCGGTGGGGATACCCTGCTGTCGGGGCACACACATCCCAGGGAGTATCTCCTCTCACCTGGAAACCCGCAACAGCCTCCCTGCCCCTTGGGGATCTCTCCTTTCTTCACCCATCCCAAGAACATCCTTCTAGCTCACAGACAAGACAGGGTCGCTTCCATGGCTTCCACACGCTCAGATCTTGTCCCCCCTCACGGCGCACATCCCCCTGGCTCTTCTCTCATGTCACAACTCATAAGCCCCCTGCACTGGACCCCAAGAATGGAAACGGCGCAGGGACCAGGCCTGTCTCACCCTGCCCTGTACCCTGACACGCACAGGATGGGGCTGATCACAGTCACCCTGGGGACAGGGTCTGGGCCCCTCTTCTGGCGAGTGACCCCTCAGGCACTCACTCTACCTTTTTCTTCCTTTTCTTCTGGATTAGTGAGTCAGGAGCTTTGGTGGAGGCCTTCTTTGCTTTCTTCTTCTTTTCCTTCTTTTCCTTGTCTTTTTTTCCTAAGGAAAGAAAGTAAACTTCTTAGACACCACGTTTTAATCTTAAGCATTGGGGTCAAAGTTGGAAGACACACAGGCAGGTCTCCCCCTGGAGAGGAACTAGAACTCACTCCTTCTGAAGCCAGGACTCCAGCTTGCCCCACACCCCGGGGAGCCATCAAAACACAGGCCCACATGCCTGTGACCACCCACGCTGGTCTGAGAGCCCCCAGGGCCAGCCTCATGACTCCTGCCCTGTCGGTGGACCACCTGGACGATTACTATTTTTCTTTAACTCACTTTTTAAAACTTCCACACATTTATTTAAAAAAGACACTTTCTATGTGTAAAATGGGAAGAAAGTATCACCTATTGTCAAGGGCTGGTGTGAGGGTGAGATGAGGCGCCCCTGCACGCAGTCTAGCACAGAGCTCAGGGAGGGGCCGCTATCACCTCTGAGGAGAAACTGCCCTCCGGGGGCTCGAACCCCCGTGAAGCCTGAAGCAGAAGTGGCTGTGCCTGCTGGCCGCTGTGAGTGAACTCTGGGCTCCAGGGGAGGCCACGCCCTGAGCCACAGGCGTCTCCCCGGCCTGCAGGCCCTGGTGCTCTAGGACCTGGCTCTGGCCCCCACGGCCCGCACAGCCCACTGCTCAGCCTCTCCCTTCTGTGCTGGCCGAGGGCTGTCCAGGCGCACTCCAGCTGCAGCCGGCCACTTACTCTTGTCAGTTTTCTTCTTCTCCTTCTTGCTCTTTGGGTTGCCTGGGTCTTCACCCACAATTGACACCATCGCCGGCTCCCCTTCTGGCTTCTCCTTGGCCCCTTGGCCAAGAGACTCCTTCTCCTTCTTCTTGATGTCACCACTTGCTCTGTCTTTCTTGGATTTCCCCTTGAGAGTCCTGGGGCCCTTTTCTGGGGAAACAGCACCCTCCCCAACCTCCCCGGCCGCGAGCTGCTTTTTCTTCTTGCTCTTGGGGGTCCTGGCAGCCGGCTGGTCTTCCGACAGCTTCCGCTTGCGACCCACCCGGCCCTTCCTGCTGCTCTCCTTGGCGGCATCCACGGCCTTCTTCCTTTCCTGCTCCAGGAGCTCTGTCAGGACCTTCACCACCGACGCCTGGACCTGGGCCTCGCTCAGGGGCCAGGGTTCGCTCAGGAGGCGCCGAGTGATGTCGCTCTGCAGTGCCAGCATTGAGGCTTGGGGGCTCCCAGCCCCCTTCCTGGGCTTCTGAGGTGTGGTGCCAGGGTCTCTTCTGCCTGCAGAGAGAGGACTTGGGGTCACGGATCCCGGAGAGTCGGGAAACAGACCTCTTGTGGGATAAGAGCCAAGGGGGTCCAGGGATAGAACTGACCTCCTCTGACAATGGTACATCTGGGGGAAGCGAGGCCCAGGGGTCACTCTGCTCCCACTGGGTCTCTGAATCACACCCTTCTGCCAGCTTCTAACTTAGAGCTCTTCTGTCTCCTCACATTAAGAACTCAAGTTCAGGTGGGGGATAGAAAATGACTCAGAATGTTAATGAAAGGGCCTGAAATCTACCAACGAAATGAAAGGTCAGAAAGGAGGGAGATGGTGTTGTCTAGAAAGGAGCCCAGAGGCCTGAGTTCTAGGTCTAACTACCACCAACTTGCTAGGTGACCTTGTTCCTCCCATGGCCTCAGTTTCCCTGTTTGCAAAATGAGGGGTTAGATAGACAGTGAGGTCCCCCATTCTAAATCATAGATTCATAATAAAAGTGAAAGCCACACAGCCATTCAACTCATGCCCGTCTACTCACAGTGGGCCCACGGCCCTCCGGTAAGGGGTCCAGGTGGTTTGGGGTGATGGGTGCGGTGCATACGCACGTGGCGGCTGACTAAGCAGGTTTACTGCCTGCCAGAGGGACTTCTGGTGCAGCCTTTGTTTAGAATTCTCCACGCCTCTGCTCTCCTTTGATAATTGTGTGCTGACTACACGTGTGAAAAAACCTTCCACAGCCCCCTCAAAACGTCTCCCTGCCGCACCCGCCTCTCACAAAGAGAGCACCAGGAAAGATAGCGAGCCGCAACTCCCTGCTGACCCGCGCCGGGCAAGTGCAGCTAAAGCCTAAGCACTGGGTGGGGGGGCATCAGCACCTGTCCCAAGGCTGCCCCTAACTTCCCAGGTGACTTGGCAGGTCTCCCCTCCATTCTGGGCCTCACAGGCACAAGAGCTCCTACACGCTGGGCTCTGAAAGGTGCCCAGGGGCTTGGCCCTGCTCCATGTCGCGAGGCTGGAGACTGTCCCCTGCAGCGTGCAGCGGGCCCCAGGGTGGGGTCTGAAGCAGCTCTGGCGAGCTGAGGGAGGTAGGCAGGGCAGGCTAGGCAGGGGGGTCCCCAGGACAGAGGGAGGCCCAGGTGAGCCCTTTGGTGCTTCGTGCAAGGGCAGAAGCCAGCTGGAGAGCGAAGCTGAGGAGGTGCCATTTGCCTTGGCAACCTCTTTCCTCGCAGCCCACTTCCCTACTTCCTGTCTACAAACACCCCAGAACACCAAGGCTGGGAGACCCTGAGAGCTGTCCCAGGTATGCCCATCTGAGATACCTGTCCCTTCGTGCTGGTGGAGTCAGAGATGGCTGATGCCCCAGGCCAGGTGATCTGAAGACTCAAGTCTGCCCTCCACATACCATGTGACTATTTTCTATGTGTGTTATGCCTCGACACCAACTGGATGCACCAACCCCTGCCCTGTATGGTTAAGACACAGGGCCCAGAGTGGCCAGGGGCTTGTCTGAGGCTTTAGAGTAAGTCAGTCCATTGCCTTGGGTCTTGGCCATGTAATGAAGACTTTTCCAAATGTGGCTCCTGCCTTTTGTCTGAGCTCCCCTGAGTTCCTACGCCCCATACCATCCCATTTGTTAGGAGAAAAGTTAACAGATACAGCTAGAGAGAGCCAAGGCCTACTCCACAAGTCAAGGTGCACCTCCTCTAAGGCAGGGGTCACCCTACCAGGTATGCTAGCATCTCATAGGGCTGGATAACCTGAATTCCAGGCTGTCCCAGACCACGGGAGCCAGACACTTGGGCGTGGGCCCCCCTGCACTTTTTTTTTTTCTTCTTATTCTCCAAAGCCCCTCAGTACATAGTTGTATATTCTAGTTGTAGGTCCTTCTAGCTCTGTTATGTAGGATGCCACCTCAGCATGGCTTGATGAGCAGCGCTAGGTTCGTGCCCAGGATCAGAACTGGCAAAACCCTGGGCCGCCGAAGCGGAGTGTGTGAACTTAACCACTCGGCCACAGGGCGGCCTCCGCCCCCTACACTTTGATGAGCACCTCCAGGTCTGACGTAGGGGTACCAGGCCTCACTCGGAGAGGCCCTGGTGACAGACAGGACCATGTTGGTGGAACTGTTCCTGAGGGAGGGAAAGAAAGGGCCCACTGCCTTGTCCCTCCACACCCTGCTGTTGTCCTTCCCTGGGGCCCTCAACTCACCTGTTTGAGGGGACATGGTGGCAGCTGGTTGTTGGGGCTCCACTTCCCGCTTGCCGTCTAGGGCATCTTTGGTAGCCGGAGTAGAGGAAACTGAGGGTTTGGGGTCTGGCCTGGGAGTGGCCTTTGAAGCCTGGGAATTGGCTGGAGTCAGCCCAGGGGTTGCATAACCTGAGAGGAGAGACTGAAGAAACCCAGTGTGAAAGAGGCCGGGACCCTGCACCACCCAGGCCCTGACGGCATGGCCTGTGTGAGGAAACCAGCTAGACCCCTAAGACCAGGCACAGCAGCCTCCCATGTGTACGTCCTGCACTATTTTAATTTAACACGTATTTTAGACAGGCACATTTAAAAAGGAAATTTCTTATTACTAATGCAAATGGAAAATCACTAGCACTTGCCATGTACAGATGACAACCTTAAGAGAAATCCCATCTGTTAAACAAAGTTTTTTTTTTTTTTTTTTTTTAAAGATTTTATTTTTTCCATTTTCTCCCCAAAGCCCCCCGGTACATAGTTGTGTATTCTTCGTTGTGGGTTCTTCTAGTTGTGGCATGTGGGACGCTGCCTCAGCGTGGTCTGATGAGCAGTGCCATGTCCGCGCCCAGGATTCGGACTAACGAAACACTGGGCCGCCTGCAGTGGACACGCGAACTTAACCACTCGGCCACGGGGCCAGCCCCTTAAACAAAGTTTTTATCTGGGAATCACCCAAAATCAAGGTAAGCCCTTTCTATAGACTCTAAGAGTCCGCTCCTCATGGGGCCTCCAAGAAGGACAGAGCCTGGCTCCACACAGACAGGACCCCGCCCAGAGCCCCGGGAAGAGGCAGGTGGGCAGGAGCTGGGCCTGGGGCTCCTGCCCCTAAACCCCTGAGGCCGCCGGCCCTCTCCCTTGCAGTCACCTGGGAAGGCGCCACCACCTCCTCCTCGCTGGACTCTGCTGTGGTCTCCTCCACCAAGGTCTCCCTCCTGGAAAGGGCTGCACCTACTGGAGAAACAGAGGGGGCCTGTTGGGAATGCCAGGTAGCCCCTGGCAGCTGGGGCATGGCAGAGCCCTCCAGGAGGGCCCCCAGGATGGCCTGATCCATCTGGATGCGCCTCACCCTCCCACCCAAGGCTCATCTGCTCCCAGTGCCCCTTTCCAAGGTCAACCGCTATTCACAGCATTCCAGGTGGGACGCCTCAAGGCCAAAACCTTTTGTTCTCATTCCTGAGGCCTCACTTATGCTTCCTCTGCTTTCTTGTGTGTGGGGTACGGCCCTGAGATTTTGGGTCAGTTATAGGAGCCTGATATCAAAAGGCAGTCAAACAGCAGAGTCAGGAGGTCTCTGATGTTATTCAGACCAATTTCCTCATGGGGCTGTACAGGGGGACCCTAAGGCCAAGGTCACTGCATGGGTAGGAGGCTGAGCCTAGGGCTCCACCAGGCCGCCTCTCCCCTCCTCCAGGCGCACCCAGACGTTTCCTCCCGGGACCCTCACCCAGCCTCTGGGTCGCCTCAGCATCCTCCTTGCTCCCTGAAGAGCAGCTGCTGCTGTCCTCACTGTCATCTGAAGTCCCAGAGGCCTTGGCTTTGGGGCGTCCCAAGGAAGTGGCCACGGCCCGCTGGACCTCAGGAACCTTGGGCTTTCCAAGCCTGTTGGTCACTTTGGCTGGCACAGGGGTGCTCTGGGGACTCGTCACAGGGAGAGTTCCCAGAGCGCTGTCAACCTAATTTGGTGAAAGGAGAAAGAGAGGAAGGAGAAATCGGGAAATAAGATGTGCTGCTTACCGCACACCTCCATTAAGGGCCAGGCCCTGTTGGCTGCTTTGCACTCAGGCCTTGTTAAGTCCTCCCACAAATCTCTAAGATGGGCAGCTGAGGCCCGGGAGGCAGGTGCGTGTGCTAAGGTCACAGGGCAGGGAAGTGCTGGCACTGGGACTAGGCCCCTGCCTGGGCCCTCCCTTCTACCCTCTGTGGTCTTTTTTTTTTTTTTATTTTTTCCCCTGAGGAAGATTAGCCCTGAGCTAACATCTGTGCCAATCTTCCTCCCCTTATATGTGGGTTGCCACCTTGGCATGGCTGACGAGTGGTATGGGTCCATGCCCAGGATCCAAACCTGCGAACCTGGGCTGCCAAAGCAGAGTGCACCAAACTTAACCACTATGCCACAGGGCTGGCCCCAACCCTCTCTGGTCTTTGATCATTGTCCCCCCAGATTGGGGCCTGGGTCCCCAGCTCCCCAGCTCACCCCACTTGAAGATGGGGTCCTGGCAGTAGGAGGCTGGGCCTCACTGGCTTTCTGGACAAGGACCTTCAGGGCGGCCTGGGTCAGCGGGAGATGAGCTGGGTTCTTCTTTGTCACCTGTGGACAGCCAAAGGCAGCCCTGAGACTCCTGGGTTCTCAGGATGCCATCTATGCCATGCCCTGGTCAGAGCCTGTCTGGCTGGGGTGGGAGGGGACCTGTATCTGTAAGAGGAGCCATGGGGCTGGAGTCGGGGACTGAGGGGTGGTCAGAGGGGCAATGCCACCATCTGGGCAGAAAATAGTGCCAGGCTTCAGGTTATGAGTTAATCATATCATTCTCAGAGGGTCCAAAGATGGCTCCCAGCCCAGTGAAGGGAAGCCGCTCTGGCCCCACCACTCAATCTGAGCCTTCACTGGGGATAAGTCTCCAGCCTGGTGGCTGCAACAGCCTCCTCCATGGTCTCCCTGGTGCCACTCCTGCTTCCCACATCCACCAGCAATCAGGGAGAGAAAACTAAGAACAGAACTGGGTGTGACTCCTTGCTGAAAACCGCCAGGCCCCCACTGCCCTTCAGTGGCTACGCAGCAGCCCTCAGCGTGGCCTGCTGGCCCGACCCCCTCCCCTTCCCACTTTCTCCAGCTGCCTCATCTTCTTCCAGCTCTCTCGCCCCCAAGCACTTCCCCAAATGGACCCCGCCCCTGGATTTTCCTGCCTGGAGTGCTCCCTAGTTCATCCTGGCGTGGCTGCTTCTCTTGCTTCAATGTCACCTCCTTGGGGAGGCCATCCTTGCCCATCCTTTCTGAAACAGGTCACTCCATTACTCTCCAGTTTATGCTGTTTCCTTCAAAGCGCCCACCAGTTGGTGAGTACTTTAATTGTTGGTTTCCTTGTTTAGTGGCTGCCTCCCCACTCACTTGGGGACTCCGCAAGAGCTGGGACCCTCTCTGTCTTGCTCCTGCTATATCCCCACTGCCTGGCATGGACAGATGTCAGCACCATCTGCTGGTTGAATGGCCCAGTAGACACGGGTTGTCAGGTGCAATCACCATAGCCCAGATGCCCACCCAGCAGCACGTCCTGGGAAGCTCCTCGGGCTGTAGCTTGTGGTGAGCCCTCTGAGCCGGGGGTGTCCAAGGCCCGCCCGGGCCTATTCAGCTCTCTCTGCCCTCTCAGAAAAAGGGGCAGGGAGCAACAGGACAGGAAAACACACCGATGCGGCCCAGAGCACAGGGTACTAGGGGTCAGGAGACCTGAGTTCTGGCCCTGCCTAATCTGGGACAAGGCTCAACCCTCTAGCTGAGGGGTGGAGCTCAGTTTTATCGTTGGAACAATGACCCATTAACTCTATCTGCCCAGGGCTTAGATTCAGGCAGGACCGAATAAAAAATGCACTGAAAATGGTGGAGGCCGGAAGAATGCTCACAGGCACCACCGTGAACACTAAAACAGGGCCACTTCCATTCACGGCGTTTCAAATCTGAGAGGAAACCAAACAAAACAGAAGCCTAACCACGCTGGAAACGCTGATGAGGGGCTCAGGGAGCAGCACTGGCTCTGCCGGGCGCTGCGTTCCCAGCCACTCAAAGGTCATTCGGAGCTCGGTTTGGGGCTGTAGCCAGAAGGCCAGGAATGGCTCCGGCTGCTGGGGCAGCTGCTTCTAGGGGCTGGGTGAGAGCAAGTGCAGTCCAGCCCAGCAGCACGTGTGGGGGAGCAGGGGAGGGCAGGGGCCCCCGACCCGCTGGCCCGAGAGCCCTCGCTTCCCGCCAGGTACCTGCGCCTCCTGCTTCCTGCCTTCCGACGCCCGGCCGGCCTCCTCACCGCTGCTGGCCCCAACGGCGCCGGCTCGGAGAGCTGTCCGTGGGTTGGCCGGGGGCACGCTCACCACATTGGTTCTCACAGCTGAAATGGGGCAGGATGGGGCACATGTCAGGGCACAGAAGCCCCCATGGCCCTCCCAGCTGCGCAACACCTAATTTATCGGCCCTTTCTAGGGACACAGCGCCGCGCTCGGGGCTTACGAGGTAGACGCCTGCTGAATGCTCGCCCCAAGTCTTCCAGGCAGGAGCTGTCACTATCTCCCCAGTACAAGGCTCGGGGCGGTCACACGGCTGCTGCGGCAGTGACCCCGGGCTTTCTCCTCAGCCTCTCCCCACACTCGAGTCCTCCGCGGCGTTCCCCCTCAGCGGGCCAGGCTGCCACTCCTGAGCAACAGGCAGGAGCGCTGGCACCACATGAGACTCCCAAGTATTTGAAAGTCCCTCGTGAGAATCACCATGGTCATCTGCCAAGGTCCAGTGACACGATGTGCACGGAGCACTGTCTGTAACAGCCAAAAACCTGCCCAGACAACACCCTCAGCTGCTTCCAACACAGCGCCAGCTAAGTGAACTATGCTGTGTCCACCCAAAGGACGACTTTGTAGCCGGCAGGAATCATGCTGGGAATGCGTGACGTCACAACACATCAAGTAGAGATCACTGAGCAGACCTACGGTATGGTCTTACTGAAAACATGGGCGTAACTTAGGGTTTTGGAACGTTAACAGTCATGAAAATGTTAACAGTAACTGTTCCAGGCAGTGGGATTACAGGTCACGTTTTTTTCTTTTGTGCTAATCTGTATTTCTTCCTTAAAGATTAGCACCTGAGCTAACAGCTGTCGCCAATCTTTTTCTTTCTTCTTCTCCCCAAAGCCCCCAGTACCTAGTTGTATACTCTAGTTGTGAGTGCCTCTGGCTGTGCTATGTGGGACGCCACCTCAGCATGGCCCAATGAGCAGTGCTAGGTCCGTGCCCAGGATCCGAACCCGGGAAACCCGGGGCCGCCAAAGCAGAGCGTGTGAACCCAACCACCTGGCCACGGGGCCGGCCGCTGTATTTCCTAGTTAGCCTACCAAGATCAGGTATTAATATGCCCATTAAAAAGTGTTATAATAGCAATAATAGTAATTAACCATTTTCTTGCTATCACCGGGAGCAGCACAGATTCTCAAAAGTCAAAGAAATCCCAGATCTGCTCCTGTCTCTCACTGATAGACAGAATTCTTCCCTACAATGTCTGTTTGGGGATTAACTAACCCCTTTGCAGGCCACCAGGAATGGCAGGCTCACTACCACCTCGCCACATTCAGGCAGTCAGTTGTCACAAGCTCTTCCCTGGATTACACAGAAACCTGGTCCCTGCAGCTTCAACCCTCTGGTCTGGGCTCTGCCTTTCAGAGTCAGCAGAGAAGCCCTGGCAAACATTTTTCCTGAGCCAGCCCCTCACTGAGATGAAGCAATGCAGGGCCCAGAGACCTTGTCCCAAGCCCATGCTGACCAACAACTTGCTGTGTGACTCAGTTAGCATCCTCTCCCTCCTGGGCCTCAACAGAGGTGTGTGTGTGTGTGCTGACGGCCCCTCCCAACCGAACCTGGGGGTTGCAGCAGGGGAGTCAGTCAGCCCTGCGTACCGGGCCCGCGCTCACCAGGAGTTGAGCACTGCGTAGCGGGGACCACGTCCTCATCCTCGCTCTCTGAGGAGGAGCTCCTGGCTGTGCTCTCCGAGGCCTGGGCCTTCCTCGGGGCGCTCGCAGCCTGGGCTTGTGCGGGGGTAGCAGCTGGGCCAGCTGGACTACGATTAGGGTCGACAAAAATCAGAGGGAATTTAATCACCTTGAAAAACAAAAACAAAACACACCCCCCCAGTGATTAAAGGCATGATCAGGGGAAGGGGGAGGGGGTGGGGAGGGTTTTACAAGGCAAGGGGTGCTGAGAGCTCAGGGCAGCTGGGCACAGAGGCGACTCCAGCTGCCCAGGGCCCTCCCAGCTCACTCCCAGCCTCCAGCACCTCACAGCTCACAGGAGCCCCTCTGACCCTCACAGCAAGCCCCTGAGGTCAGCAGGATTAGCTCCACTGGACAGATGGGAAAACCACAAGTCCAGAGAGGGGAGGAGAGTTACCCAAGGTCACAGAGCCTAACTGAAGCAGAGCCAGGGCCAGAATGTCCAATTCAGCCTTCTTTCCTCTGACTGACTTCAGAGACAGACACCTGCTGAGGGGGCGTCTGAACAGCGTATCCTTTGGCTGCCTGGTCGTAACACATGATTCACCTGGGGGGGGTCGTTCACAATCTAGTGCCCCCACCAAGAGACTCTGATGTGGCCTCCTGAGACATGGCCCAGGATGCGGCAACCCAACTATATGGACCCAGTGTCTTCAATAAAGAAAGCACAAGGGGAACGCCAACAGATTAAGACTTACAGGACCCAATGCAGTGTGTGGCCCTTATTTGAACACACAATATAAAAAACATCATTTAAGAGACAATCAGGGAAATGGGGATGCTGACCGGGTAGGTCGTTTTTTCAGGTGTGATATTATACTGGGCTTGTACTCAAAAAAAACACAACAAAGTAACCCAGGAGCACTGGTGAACTGAGTGGAGAGTTTGGACGACATGAGCCCGGTCACAAGTTCAGACCCGCTAACACTGGAGACGGTTTGTCGGGGGTTCTCTACCCTGTCTTATCTTTGGGGATGCTTTTAGTTTTCCAATAAGACATTAAAAGAAAGAGAAAGAAAGCAGCAGCAGCAGCAGTTCCTTGGTATTCTGCAGACCAGCCTGGGCCTGGCGGCTCCAGTGAAATGTCCACTGTGCACGGGCACCCTGAGAGCACACGCAGCCACAAGCCAGGGAGCTGAAGAGGCTGCTTTCCACTCCCCAAAGGCCAGGTCTGGCCTGAGTCCCACTCTCTCTCTGGCCAGTAGGGGGACGAAGGGCAGCAGGAGGGAGCTGCCCAAGGTCAGGTGTGGGACCTGAGTCTCTTCCACAACTCCGCATGGGGCCCCCGGAGTGCTGGGGAAGAGGGGAAGGGAAGAGCGGAGCAGAAGGGTGCCCACCCGAGGGTGGAAGCTCTGCAGGGCTTGGGCCCTTCCTACCCCTGCCAACAGCCTCCCCCGCGGCTGCTCTGATCTGCCACTTCCAGAGCCTTCCTTCCCACATGATGAAAGAGAGAAGGATGGAAAGTGGGAGAAGGTTTACAGTTGAGGGAGGGGGATCTATATATATGTGAGAAGACAGAGGAACAGATTGTCGGGGACGAAGAGAGGCAACGAACCCACTGAGGCAAACAATAGCGTCTGGGATGTTAAAAGCAGCTCAGCAGCAAAAGCCTCCACCTCCTCCATGTTCCACCTGCCCACGCTGCCCGCCCTGGCCTCTTGGCTGCAGGGGCGCAGAGGGCCTGGCTGCAGAGGGCAGGGGCACAAGGGGTGCCATGCCCGAGCCCTGCTTCCAACCCCACCTCTCCAAGACCTCACGGTGTGGTCGAGCCTGAGCTTCATGAGCCTGTTTCCCACTTGCTGAGAGGGCTGTTAGTAATCCCAGCTGGGGCTCACTCACTGGAGGGGCTCTGATGTGCTTTGGGAACTGCAAAGCACAGTACACACAGGGGTGACAAGGGCCTTCCTTCTGGGGTCGGTTAGCAAAGGTTCATGGGGAGCTGAGGCAGCCTGCACACTGGGCTGTGCCTCCCTGTCGGTGCTGGGCAGCGAGGACCTGGAGGGAACGCGGGGACTCCCCTCCTCCTGCAGGCCCTGACGTCTGCAGAACCAAACCACCTCCTGTCGCACCCGAGCTCATCACAACTGTACCCTCACTCCAGTCTGGGGCAGAGCAGGAGCGGGGGGCTGACCAGCCCAGGCTGCTGACCCAGGCAAGGGACACAGCCACAAAGGCACCCGAGGTGGTGGAGCTCCGGAGGGCAGCTCCTCTCCAAGAGCCCCTCTCAGAACTGCCTGGGTGCAGGTTAACAGGTCCTGGGCCAGCGCCACCCCAGGGAACTGAGAAACCCCACTCTCTGGGGATGTGGCCTCGATGGTGACCAGCAAACGGATGCCAGAGCCAGGCCTAGAAGTTAGTTCTCCAGGCATAGGAGAGGAGCTCCTTCCAGGAGGAGCCTCCGATGTAACACCTTAACTTGGTTTCTCACAGGTCTCCTTTTTCTCTCTGCCATTACCTCAAAGTTTGAGAGCAGGGTCTATGTCTTTTTAGTTTGGTACCTACACCGGGCCCCAGCACAACAGGGCTGAGCCACAGACCACCCCCTTGACGTCTCTCTCAGAGCCAGAGGGTGGGCCCCATTCCCTGCAAGTGGGGACACTGAGGCACAGTGAGGGGGCTTGGGAATGGAGATACAGTCCCCTCTCTGCCTCCCAGCGTGGGGCTTTGCCCACCACCCTGGCATGGGTCCCTGTCCCCTACTGATGGGCTAATAATAAAAACAGAGCGAAACTTGTCAATAGAGAAGTGCTTGATAACTGCATAATAACGATAATAATCATAATTAGTGAGCTGGGGATTAAGGAGCTGAAAATCCCCCACTTAGGGGGAGGCTGCAGCTTCCCCAGGCTGTGCCGTCTTCCCTGCAGCCTCCCGGGGGAATGCACAAACTGCCGACTTCTTTCCCTTCTTCTTTTTTAATAGGGACTCCAGAATCTTCAGGACTAACGTACCAATTAAACGGTTCAGTTTAAGCATGATGTTCATTTTAATTGTGTTAGTCCACCCCCGCAGAGAAGGGCGAAGCGGCCCCCTCCCTCCCAGCTGTTTATATCCTGCTCTGAGAAGGAGGCAGCCTCCTGCAGGCCCCAGAGAGCCGGTGGGCAATGCCTGGGCCCTGCCTCCCTCCTTCCCTGCAGGGCAGTGCCAGGTGGTGGGTCAGAGGGCAGACGGCCTGGGTTCAGACACCAGGTCTGTCCACTTGCTACCAGCCATATGACGCTGGAACAGTTCACTCAACTTCTCTGAGCCTCATTCCTTCCTCTTTAAAATGGGAGTAACAAAGGAACCTACCCTGGCAGGGCTGTTGTGGGGATTACACAGAATAATGCCAAGTGTGGAGCTTAGCACAGGGCCTGGCACACAGGAAGCGACCAAAGTCAGTTGCAGTTGTTCATCATTATTTCTGTAATCTGTCTTATGGAAAGGCAGCGAGCACTCCATCACCGGGGGTGTGCAAGCAGCATCCAACCTCAATGATGGACTGACTAGCATGTGGTATGATATATAAGGGGAAATGGTTAAGGAGACCCCACTGGTCTAGTAGTTGCAGGATTCCAGCATCTCTGAGGGGCCCAGCAGAAGCTTCCAGGAGCGTGGGGCTAGAAGAGGACAAAGGGCAGTGCTGTCTGTGGGGAGGGCCCGGGGTTCACACAGAAACTTGGACACCAGCCTGGCAGACGTGGGCCTCGTCCTGCCCTTGTGGGCGCCATCTAGGCAGTATAGTATGTGGAGATGTGCCACAGGGGCTCGAGCAAGGCCTCAGGCCTGGCCTACGGGATTCTGACAAGGCCTGCAGAGAGGGCTCCCGGTGCACACAGGAGGCAGGGATACAAGAAGCCAGGGGACCAGTGTCTGCCCCTTCCTCACCTCCCCGTGGGTGAGGAGAATTTGGGGAAATCACTTCAATTCACTGGGCCTTGATTCCTGCTGTCGAATGGGGAACACCACATGCCCGCCTGCAGTAACAGGCGCTCCGGTCAGGCAGCACACCGTGGGCCTGTGCCGGCGCACAGCACGGAGGGAGGATGATCACCCTGCCTGTTCTACAGCTGAAACTTCTGGGCTTCATGGTTACGGTGTGCCCTGGTTCACGGAGCTGGTGGGCAGGAGAGCTGCCCTTGACCCTACACCAGCTGGCTCTGAGGCCTGGATGTTCAATGACACTCTGCTGCCTCCCTCACGGGGTTACTGTGAGGATGTTACTAAAACAGAGGAAAGAGCTCTGGGAGCTGTGAAGTGCTGCTTCAGCGGGAAGATCCGCCCTCGGCCCCAGCGGCCCGCCCCCGTCCCCCCAGCTCTGAGCCTGCAGCGTCTCCGAGAGAAGGCCGGCCTACCTGGCCTGCGGGCAGCTCCTCATCGCTGCTCTCCGAGGACCCCTGTGCCTTCTTCTCCGGAAGTGCTGGGCCCAGGGTCTTGCTTCTGGCAGTTTGGGAAGCACCCTCCTTCTGAGGGGACAAGCACATGGTAGAGAGGGGACGTTGGCTGGGGGGGAGCATGACTGAGGGGCCAGGCTCAGGGAAACCACAGCCAGCAAGCAAGGCCCCTCACAGACACTGGTGCTCCAGGGAAGGCAGCATGGCCCCTTTCTGCACACACATGGCAGGTGGAGAGCTGCTGGCCCGGCATGCCCCATAGCCACTGGAAACACAGCCTCCACTCTGCTCATCCTCCTTCCGGAGCTGACTCTGAACTTGAAAGGGGTGTCTGAGTCAGGCACCATGAAAACCTGAGGGCTGGGGTGCTGTTGGCCAGGCATCTGAACGAGAGGTGACAGAGGCCTGGGACAAGGTTGCGGAGGTGAGCCAGCGGCCCCAGCACAGCTCACATCTGGCTGTAACACGACTGGTTAAAAGCAGGAGCCGGTTCAAAGTGTTCGGGTGGGTGGCTGCCATGCCCTCGTGCCAGGCATAAATGAGGGGAGCTGGGTGGGTGGGAACTGCAGTCGGGGGCCAGAGGAGGAGGTCCAGGGAGCAGTGTGTAGCCAGTGCTGGTGGTGACCAGCTCAGGGTTGTCCAGGGCAGGGGCAGAGGGGAGTTCCACTGGTGAAGGCCCCACTTTTCACTACTCAACCCAGCCAGAAAGTGGGACCTAGTTTGCCAGGGCCTCCAATTTCTCAAGAGAAGCTAGAAAATCCTGATTTGAGTGTGTTATTTCCCCATTTTTAAATGAGTCAACTACAACACACACTGCAACAGCTATGCCCCCGTGTCTTCCTTAATCACAGAACTGCAACTCTGTTCTGGTGGCCTCCACAACAAAATTTGGGGAGGGTGGGCCCTTGTCCCAGCCAATCATGGGAACTGCAGGCCCCTCATCAGGGAGTGGCTTTTTTTGGGTGTGGAGGAAGGAAGGGAGGGAGCACATGCCTTAGATCTGGACAAGGAGATAAGGGGAAGGGAAGTCAGCTGGGGGATTCTGTAGCTCTTTGGGAGATACTGCAGCCCTGCTGCGACAATGAGGCGCGTGGAACAGAGATGGAAGAAATCTGGGTCACCAATGATGCTGAGCTGAAGAAACCATCTTTACAGCAGCCTTCCCCATGGATTGTGAGATAACCAATCCCCTTACTATCTAAGCTCTTGTGAATTAGGGTTTCTCCTGCAGATTAGGACATCCTGACTGATACAGTAACCCATTTAAGACTTAAAGAAAAAAAACACTGCACAGTCCAAAACATGGCTGGGGCCCTTGTGTCTTAGTCTGGCGTTTAGGTCCCCATGTTACTGGTAACAAGCAACTAGAAATGACTGTTGCCCACAGGCCAGCCGGCCTTTGCTGAACATGCCTGACTTCACCTCCCCTCCCCTTTGCACACACTTTGCACACCTTCCCCCTGGGTGCGCGTCTCCACTTTTGTGTCTGGTGAACCCCTGGTCTTCCTTCAAGCTCAGCCCAATCATCTCCTCTTCTGGCCTCTCGGAGACCTATTCTCCCAGCTCCATCAGGGTCTCCCAGCTCCATCAGACAGAGAGCTACGGGAATATTTTCCGATAATGCAGTCACCTTGTCTTGCCCTACAGACCATAAGCTCCTTGAGGACAGAGCCAACACCTTTCACCCCTTTCTCTCTATCAGCAAGACAGAGGGCTCACTGGTCAGCCTGGTGCACTGAAGGCAGAGGTTAGTGTCAAGGCACCAACAGACTTCTCAGTGCTTGTTTTACTCATGAAGAAAACAGAAATCCAAGAAGGGGCGGAGCGTGGCCTGGCACAGGGAGTTGCAGCTTCCCTTAGGAAAGAGAAGATCTGGCCACAGGGAGGGTACCCTTCCACGGGTCACAACTGGCTAGAGCTGACAGGGACCAACTTCCTAGACAGGGCAAGGGCTCTCCAGTCTGCCCTACCTGCCACCACTCCCTACTACCTCTCCTGACACCAAGGCTCAATGTAGGTTGCCATCTATCACCTCCACGAGGCCTGTGTCAATCATTTCCATCACAAGTCCGAGCCCTCTAAGTCCTGGAGTTTGACACCCCGAACTTCTGCAGGACACAGCCACTCCCGCTGCTTTCTGCAAGCCGAGGGAAATCCAGATCAAAGTCAGTTCCTCATTCCTTCTCTCCTCCCACGCCCCAGGCCTCACATTAAGCTACACGAGCTCTCCCTGGGGAGATGTGCAGGCCTACATGAGGCCCCGGGCCCAGGCAAGGGATATGACTTCCTCCAGCTCCCGAGGGCCTCATGGTATCTGCATCACAATCCAAGCCTCCCCATGACTCTCTCTGACTGTGACATCTTTGGATTCTTGGCCTCATTTGCCTTGGCGGGAGTTGCTGACCTAACCTCCCATAGGGCTGGTGTGTCTACTCGTGTTGTGGAGGCCTTGGGGGATACGGGTGTGTCTAAAACATCTTTCATGAGGGAGGCCTTAGCTTGGGGGATTTTTACAGGTTTTGCCTAAGGAGACATGGAGGACAGCAGCTGGGGGAAAGGATCTTGGAGTCAAGAGCCTTAATCTGGTCTTCCTTCCTTATCTGGCCCTCAACCCAAGTTCTGACGAAGGAATGGGTGGCGATGGCTTGGAAGCCTGGCATCGTAGCATCTTCCTCATTAGACCTCACCTGGGCTGGTGTCACAGCTGCCGGCACTGCCCCCTCGCTGTCTGACTCCTCTTCACTGCTGCTCTCCGAGTTCTCCTCCCGCTTCCCAGCCTGGGTGGCTGTGGGTCCTGTCTTCCCAGGGGGTGCTGGGGCAGCCCCTTTCCGGGGGGATCCCTTGGTGGGGGCTGAGGCAGTTCTGACCTGGGCGGTCTTCCCTGAGGGCTTTGCCTGGAGTGAGAGGATGAGAATTAGGGAAGGGAGCCCCGAGGGCCGGCACAGGGCTGCTCTCTGCCCTCCCCAGCCTCACCTGAGCTGGCGCCGCCCCCTCGCTGTCTGACTCCTCCTCACTGCTGCTCTCCGAGTCCTCTTCCTGCTTCCCAGCCTGGGTGGCTGTGGGTCCGGTGGCTGTGGGTCCTGTCTTCCCAGGGGGCGGTGGGGCAGCCCCTTTCCGAGGGGACCCCTTGATGGGGGCTGAGGCAGTTCTGACCTGGGTGGTCTTCCCTGAGGGCTTTGCCTGGAGAGGAAGAGAATTAGGGAAGGGAGCCCCAAGGGATGGCACAGGGCTGCTCTCCACCCTCCCCAGCCTCACCTGAGCGGGCGCCACCCCCTCGCTGTCCGAATCGTCCTCACTGCTGCTCTCCGAGTTCTCCTCCCGCTTCGCAGCCTGGCTGGCTGTGGGTCCTGTCTTCCCAGGGGGTGCTGGGGCAGCCCCTTTCTGGGGGGACCCTTTGGTGGGGGCTGAGGCCGTTCTGACCTGGGGTGTCTTCCCTGAGGGCTTTGCCTGGAGAGGAAGAGAATTAGGGAACAGAGCCCCGAGGGCAGGCACAGGGTTGCTCTCCGCGCTCCCCAGCCTCACCTGAGAGGGCGCTGCCCCCTCGCTCTCTGACTCCTCCTGGCTGCTGCTCTCTGAGTCTTCCTTCTGCTTCCCCACCTGGGTGGCTGTGGGTCCTGTCTTCCCAGGGGGTGCTGAGGCAGCCCCTTTTCTGGGGGACCCCTTGGTGGGGGCTGAGGCAGTTCTGAGCTGGGGGGTCTTCCCTGGGGGCTTTGCCTGGAGTGAGAGGAAGAGAATTAGGGAAGGGAGCCCCGAGGGCCGGCACAGGGCTGCTCTCCGCCATCCCCAGCCTCACCTGTGCCGGCACCGGTGCCGCCCCCTCGCTGTCCGAATCTTCCTCACTGCTGCTCTCCGAGTCCTCCTGTGAGCCCCTGACTGGCCCCGGCTGGGCCCTGGCTGCTGCGGCATCTGCCTTTCCTCCCGCTAGCACAGACACTTGGCCCCTCACCGAGATGGCACTGCTCTGGGGGGTTCTTGCTGGTGGCTTTACCTGAATCCCAAGGAGGTAACAGTATTGGGGAAGGAAGTGGGCAGCACGGTTCCTGTTAGGTTAAGCCCCACCCGTGGTGTGAATGCTGGGAGGTTGCTCCCGTCTGTGCAGGGCCCTTGTCCAGCCTGGGGACACTCCTTAGTCATCCTCTCCACCCCACGCCCCCACCTCCTATGGCTTCTGGTCCCACTTGCCTTGGCTGGGGACCCCTGCTTGGCTTGAGCAGCTGCAGTGACCACTTTTCTGACAGCTGATGATGGCCCTGGGGCTAAAGCCGCCCTGGCAGAAGCTGGGCTGGCTTTGGTCTGAGGCGTTTTCACTGAGGGCTTCACCTGCAAGGAGAAAAGGGAATTCCGGAAGGAAGAGGGTGAGAGGCAGTACAGCAAGTAGGTGAGGACGCCAATTCTGGAGTCAGATGCCTGAGTTTGGATTCTGGCTCCTCCATTTAATAGCTGTGTGAACCTGGCAAATTTGACATTGCTGGGCCTTGTTTCCTCCTCTGTAAAATGGGAATAAGAAATAAGGCCCATCCACAGGGTGATTGTGAGGATTAAATGGGAGATTCCGTGTTTAACATAGTGCCTGGCACATAATAAGCACTCAGATAAAATCACTGTTGTGAGCGCTTTTCTTAGTGTTAGCTGTGCACAAGAGTACTCAGAGCAAAGTGTTTTCTAGACCCCTTTCAGCTAAGCAGCTACGTGATTAACTTCTGGCTAACGAAACGTAAATCGAAGATACAGTTGACTTCCTTACACATGTAGGTAACATGTGTCTTCATCCTCTCTGCTGGCTGGAATGCTGAGGCAACAGCTCAAGCTCAAGTAGTTATCTTAGTCTGAGATGGGAGCCGGGTACTCCGGATGGCAGAACAAGACAGAAAACCATTGTTGTTTGAGGTTTTCTTCAGCTTGACCTAATCTTAACTGGTGTCCAAGGAACCCCCCCCACAGCCTGTCAGGGTCTCCAGCAAATACAGCCTAGAGAGATGAGAGGGACAAGGAGCAAAATCCTCGACAGTGAGATCCTTGACAGGAGTGGGAAAGCAAGCCCTGCTAACGTGCAACAGGACGAGGCATTTGGCATCATCTCAAGGCCCCTGCCTCGTTCATAGATGTCATCTGATCAGTGACATCCCACACAGACTGGCTTCCCTCATCCACGAGACCAAGAGACATTCAGAGCCAGAACGTCAAGAAAGAAATCCCTCTAAAGCACAGGCCGAGTATGACCAAGGCCAAGGTGCATATCAGCACAGAACGCAAGTCACCCAGAGGGGAGTAATGTCTTCACACAGACATACGAAAACAAGGACACTAAGACTAAGTGTCTTACTTAATAAATCTCAATAAATTTACAAGGACTGAAATCATACAAATCATGTTCTCCAGTCACAGAAGGATTAAATTAGGAATTAAAAAAAAACAACTGCATAATTGCAGATATTTGGAAATTAATTCACTTCTAAATAACCCATGGTTCAAAGAATAAAATAAAAAATACATTTAAAAATTCATGGGACGAAGCTAATGAGTCCTTAGAGGGAAATTAATAGCTTTAAATACTTATATTGCAAAGAGCTAAAATTAAAGATTCCACCTTATGAAGCTAGAAAAAGAACTGCAAATCAAACCCAAAGGAAGGAATAATAAAGATCAGAGTGGAAATTACTGAAACAGAAAACGTGAAAATGATAGAGAAAAGTCAATGAAACCAAAAGTTGTTTCTTTGAAAAGAACCAAATTGGGGGCCGGCCCGGTGGCACAGCAGTTAAGTGCACATGTTCCACTTCAGTGTCCTGGGGTTCACCAGTTCGGATCCTGGGTGCGGACGTGGCACTGCTTGGCAAGCCATGCTGAGACAGGCATCCCACATACAAAGTGGAGGAAGATGGGCATGGATGTTAGCTCATGGCCAGTCTTCCTCAGAAAAAAGAGGAGGATTGGCAGCAGTTAGCTCAGGGCTAATCTTCCTCAAAAAAAAAAAAAAGAAAAGAAAAAGAAAAGAACCAAATTAATAAATCTTCAGCTAGACTGACCAAGATATAGGACAGAAGACATAAACTACCAACAATTAGGAAAGAAAGCAGGACATCACTATAGACCTTATGGAAATTAAAAGGATTATAAGGGAATATTATGAACAAATGTAACAAATTACATTTGAAAACAGACAAGTTTCTAGAAAGGCACAAATTATTAACTGCGCACAAAATTATTAAAAGGCACAAAACATAAACTGACTCAGGAAGGAAAAAAACCTGGATAGACTAATATCAATTACAGCAATTGATTTAGTAATTAAAAATCTTTCCCCACAACAAAAAAGCCCAGAGCCAGATGGCTTCACTGGTGAATTCTATTAAGAAAGAAAGAATACAATTCTAACACAAACTCTCAGAAAACAGAGGAGAGAACACTATCCAACTCATCTTACGAGGCCAGCATCACCCTGATAAGAAAGCTGGACACAGATGTCACAGGAAAACTACAGACCAATATTCCTAGTGAACAGACACAAAAATCCCTAACAAATGACTCACAAACTAAATCCAGCAATAAATAAAAAGGAGTGTCCACCATGACCAAGTGGGATTTAGTCTAAGAATGAAAGGTTGATTTAATACCTGAAAATCAACTAAAGTAATATAGCATATTAATAAACCAAAGGGAAAAAAACAGAAGATCACCTCAATAGAGAAAAAGCATGTGACAAAAATCCAACTCCAATTCATGATAAGAATTCTCAACAAACCAGGAATAGAAGGAAATTTCCTCAACCTGTTAAAGGGCATCTATGAAAAACCTACAGCTAACACACTCACCAGGGAAAGACTGCTTCACCCCCAAGGTTAGAAACAAGGCAGGATGCCTGCTCCCACCACTACCATTCGACACTGTACTGGAGGTTCTAGCCAGGGCAGTAAGGCAAGAAAAAGAAACAAAAGCCATCTAGATCAGAAAGGAAAAAGTAAAACTTTATTAGCAGACAACATAATCCGTATATAGAAAATTCTAAGGAATCCGCAAAAGCCACTAGAACTGGTAAGCAAGTATAGCAATGTCACAGGACATAAGACCAGCAAGCTCAGGCCCAGAAGGCATCACACCACTTAGCCATTCGCCCAGCACTGACGGAACATCCCCCGCCCTTCTCACACAAGGGGTGTCTTCCTATGGCATTTAAATCGTGAATCATCTCCTCCCTGAGTCTCTGGCACATTTGGCTTTCCAGAACCAACCTTGCTTTTTTCGTTTGTTTGTTTTGAACCTCAACTCCCAAATGGGGAGTTTACTCGGAGCTGGCTGGCTGTCTCTGAGCAGATCAGAGACGCTGACTCCTTTCCGAGCCCAGCAGTGCTGAGCGGCATGGTACCCAGTTAGCGTGTGCAGCATTTTGAGGGTGAGGCCACACCAGTATTATCTCATTTAATCCTCACCATAACCCCACAACAGAGGCATAATTATTATCTTCATCCTTCAGATGAAGGCAAAGAAAAGGTGGTCAGCAAGACTCCTCCTGTCAGCCCGCCTGCTTTAGCAGAGGCTCTCTGGACCTCTTGAAGCCAGGAAAGGCACCATCTTCTGAAAGGGCATCAGGCTACAAGGCTAGGCTACCAGAGAGGGATTGGCTGCTCTATTTTCACCCTGAGAGAAAGTAAGACCCAAAAGTATAACCAGTTCTGTGGATGGAAAAGCTTTGGCCAAGATATGTCACAAGGAAGTGGGCAAGGCAAAGGCTTTCGAAGCAGGTGCTCCGGGGCACAGGCCTGGCTCTGACCCTCACGGCTGGCTGAGCTGGAGCAAGTCACCAAACAACTGCTCTAAGCTCCAGCTGCCTCCTGCAGACACCAAAGCAAATGAACACACAACTCACGGTACAGGTGGGAGGCTCGGATGGGAAGACAGGTATTTCAGTGATCGCACACTGAACCTGGCAGCATCTCAAGGCCCTGCCTCATTCATAGATGTCATCCGATCAGTGACAGCCCCCACACCCCAGCTTCCCTCATCCACATGAGAAACTTTTAAGGCACTGGTCTGGAACGTGTCTGTAGCTTAGAAAAAGGGGACAGGAGCCTGCTGAGCTGAGACTCCGGGAGGCCCACGCATAGTTAACAGTGGGTCCCACAAGTTAACAGTGAGGGGGGACAGAAAAAAAATACAGAGAAATGTGTGCTCTGGTCCAGGGAAAAAAGAAGTGACTAATTTCTGAGTGGTTATTGAAAAAAAGAGTGACAATTAAAAATAATAAATGGTGGGTGGGTGAGCACAGGGAGGGAGCTATCTTCGCTTCTCCCAGCTCTTCCAGGCTGGGAGACGACTCCTGACTGCTCCACAGCAGTCCGGCCCACCCTCGGGAGCCGGAGGAGAGGGCTTGCTGTACATAGGCTCCCGGCAGGGTGTGGCAGGCAAGATCTCGTTAAATTCCCAGCATGTGAGGCTGATTTCCAACTTACAGAGAGTAAACAGAGGCCCTGATCATATCACTCACTAGGACATGAACCTGGAGCTTGAACCCAGGCAGTCTGGCTCCAAACCCCCTGCTGTCCACCCCTACCACACTCTCCCCCAGTGATCCCCACCAGAACGCTCTGCTTGGGGCAACTCACCCAAGCCAGGCACTCTCCCAGCCCCTGGCCTTTGCACAGGCTGGTCTGTCCCCGGGAACACTCCACTTCAACCGTCCAACTCTTTCAGCCCACAGTTTAGATGCCACTTCCTCCAGGAGGCCTTCCCTCCTGAAAAACCCCTAGACACCATCACCTGCCATGCTCCGCTAGCCCCAGGCCACCTCCTCTTTCTCAACCCTACGACACCATGCTGAAATAACCTGTATACACGTCCATGCTCCCATCTAGGCTGGGAACTCCCTGAGGGTCAAGGCCACAGGAGCCCCAGACAGGACAGCACTGGCAGAAGGGGTACTCAGCAGAGCTAGTGGAAAGCATACGGAATCACGGTGGAAGCTCAAAAGGCCACGGAGGAGACCCTGGAGCTCCGACGGGCAGAAGAGAGAGAGTGAAAATGGAGAACGAGGCTGAGCTGAGGCTCCTGCACACCCTGGGGCAAGAGCAGCCCAGACAAGCCCACCGTCAGCCAGTCCTGGGCACTGGTGTGGGGGGGATGGGCTGGCTCCCTGAGGCCTCACCTGTGCTGGAGTCGCTGCCACCTCCTCACTGTCGGATTCCTCCTCACTGCTCTCTGAGTCATCGTGCATCTCAGCTTTGACCTGGGCCACTGCAGGCCCTGCCTTCCCAGGGAGTAGTGGGGCATTCCCCTGCCCTGATGGCCCCTTGGTGGGCGCAGAGGCAGCTTTCGCTGGGGGGTTTTTCCTCACAGACTTTGCCTGGAACAACAAGGAAGAGAGGTGTGTCCCAGGAGCCTAAAGGGCGGCCCTGCGTCAGCCAGGCCCAGCTGGCCTCACCTGTCCCACTGCTACAGCAGGAGCTTTCTCTTCCTCACTCTCGGACTCCTCGCTGCTTGAAGAGTCCTGCTCTGGCCTCTGGGTGCCCCTGGCCACAGCTGGGGACGATGCGCAGGCTGGTGAAGTCACTGCTTCTGCTTTCCAGGGGGCTGGTGTGCCCACTCGCGCTGCGGGGACCTTGGCAGACGCGGGGGTCACGGGGGAGCCCTTCGTTGGGGAGGCCTTGGTCTGAGGAGTTTTCATAGCAGGTTTTGCCTGAGGGCACAGAGAAGTCAGAAGCTGGAGAAGGATCCTGAACTCACGGCCCCCACCTATTCTGGGGGGAGCCCCACTGCCGTCCCTCCCCACAGCTCCCTGTGGAGCTGCCTGGGAGCGGCCAAGGGTCCGACTCTGTGGCTGCCCCTCCTGAGGCCTCACCTGGGCTGGAGTCACGGCTGCAGCCACCTCCTCCTCACTCTCCGACTCATCCTCGCTGCTCTCTGAGTCTTCCTTCGACCTTTCGACCTTGATCTGGGTGGCTACAGGCCCTGTCTTCTGAGGGGGTCCCTTGGCGGGACCTGTGGCAGATTTGACCTGGAGGATTTTTCCTGAGGACTTTGCCTGGAGAGAGACACACAGGATTAGGAGAGGGAGCAGAGAGCATGGCTGTGTGCAGACACAAGAGACTGAGAGGGCAAGCGAATCATAATGTGCAGAGAGAGGGGCTCCCAGCATGATGGGGAGAGAAGAGCCTTATGGGTAGGGGCCTGACCTGGGCTGGCGCCTCCCGCTCGCTGTCTGACTCCTCGCTGCTGCTCTCCGAGTCCTCCTCTTGCTTCCCCACCAGGACCAAGGTGGCTGTAGATGCCGCTTTCCCAGGGGGTGCTGGGACGGCACCCTTCCCTGAGGGCCCCATGCCCACAGTCGAGGCAGCTCTGACCTGCGAGTTTTTCCCCAAAGGCTTTGCCTGGGAGTGACAGAGGACAGGATCAGGGCAGGGGCTCCATAGGGGGCATGTGTGTGAAGACAGCGGGGGGCAAGGGCTGGAGGTGCAAAGGAGGAGGACAGGCCACAGGAGGCTCCTCAGGCAGGGCACAGGGCCATGCAGGGCATCCTCCAGCCTTACCTGAGCTGAGCTGGAGGTTAGAGGCCTGGCTGCTGGCGCCTCCCCGTCACTGTCCGACTCCCCGCTGCTGCTCTCTGAGTCCTCCTCTGGCCTCCCCGCCTTGGCCTGAGCAGCCACAGGCCCTGCCTTGCCAGGGGGTGCTGGGGTGGTCCCTTTCCTAGGGGACTCCTTGGTGGGGACTGAGGCAGCTTTGACCTGGGGGGTCTTCCCTGAGGGCTTCACCAAGAGGAAGACAAATAGAATTAGGGGAGGGAACACAGTGGGTGGACATGGGGAGATACAAGAGACCAGGCAGAGCCAAAGACACCACACACACCACAGTGGGCAGGGTGGGGTGGAGCTCTGGGTGTGCCTGGGGCTCGCGTGGAGCAGGGGAACGAGTCCTCAGAGGGCCTCCTGGGAGGGGCGCGCGCTGCATGGGCTCTGCTCACCTGGAGCGGGGTCTTGGCAGCTGGAGTCTCTTCCTCACTGTCCGACTCCTCGCTGCTGCTCTCCGAGTCCTCCTCTGGCCTCCCTGCCTTGGCCTGGGCAGCTGCAGGTCCTGTCTTCCCAGTGAGTGCTGGGGTGGCTCCTTTCCCAGGGGTCCCCTCGGCGGAACCTGAGGCAGCTTTGACCCAGACAGATTTCTCTGCGGCCTTCCCCTAGCAAAAGAAAAAGGGCAGTCTGTTCCCCTCCTCCTCACCCTCTGGTGATGCCTTCAGGATAAAGCCTGAGGCCTCAGTGGGGCTCACAAGACCCTCCTGCTTCTCTCCTCACTCCCCACCTCGACTGGTGCTCCAGCCTGGCCTACCAGCTTCACACTCAGGCACTCCTGGGGCCGTCACACCTCCACCCATTTCAGCTGCCACCACTGCCTCAGCCTCCGGGTCCCAGACAGACACTAGTTCCATATGTAGTTCCCCGACACTCCTGCACTGCCCCAACGGTCACCCTGCACACAAGTCTTACGGCCTCGTCCCACTGGGCTCCCCCATCAGCGGGAGAGCTCGGTGGGCAGAGGCACCGAGTCTGCCTGACCCACTGCTGGCCCCAGTGCATATGTGACCGGGTTTAGAGGAGGCAGTATGCAAAGGCCCAAGGGAGGAACCACAGCAGCCTGGACGTGGAGAACAGAGAGGCAGTCTGAAAGTGAAGAGGGGACGGAGTGAGGCCCCCTGGGAAGCCTGGGCTAGCCTCCTGGAGCGAGGTCCCCAGGACCCAGGCCTCCTCCTTGCTGGTCTCAGCCTCTGTTCCTGGCCTCAGGGCTTTGGCAGGAGCTTTGGCAGCGAGGTGTCTTCTTTGGAAAGGTCACAGGTGCTCAGCCCTGGGCCAATCACCCCGAAAAATCAACGACTCTGAATATTTCCCTTCTAAAAACCTTCCCAAGCAGAGGGCACAGGCTGCTCTAGACAGGTTTTTTGGCTTGCTCCTTTTCAAAGTTTTTGAACAAACACGGAGAAAGTAGCTTTTACACAAAGTGCACATTTGGGCTCCTGATGAAAAATAGGTGCCAGGCAACACCGGGTAGCCCCTGGGTACAGCAAAACCGACCCAAGCTGAGGAGCAGTGGCCCCCTGCAGCTAGGGTCTACACACTGGTCTGCCACAATTCTCACTCCTACTCCCATTGCAGGGCCTTGGCACTTGCTGGGCTCCTGGCCTGGAATGCCCTTCTTCCAAACGTCCACAGGTCTCCCCCCTCAGGTCTTCGCGTCTTTCCTCAGATGTCTCCACTCTAAGGCCTCCCCTGAGCGCTCTGTTTCAAACGGCCATTCCTACATCTCTCTCCACCTTACCTTCCTCTTTAACATTCACTACCATCCAGCAAAGTGAATCTTATTTATACGCTTATTTACCGAATGTCTCCCCAGTATCATTCTGCCCCAGGCCTGGGTGTGGCTGGGACCTCTCCTCTTGGACCTCACCTGGGTGGGCTCAGGGCTGCTGCCCATGGCTACCCGACCCTTCCTCCTCCCAGGGCTCTAATGCCAACAGCCTCCCAGCCTCTGGCTTTCCCTTGGGATGCACCCAGAGCCTTGGGGGCTACAGCCCTGGCCACCCACCTGGAGGAGGGGGTCCCAGCAGATGGAAGGTAACTGGATTCCTGTTAGCTAAGAAGCCATAATTTGGCCTGAGAAGCCAAAGGACCAGGCAATTAAAACTTCTCAAGTCCCTTCACAGCAGGACTAGCTGGGTCTAGGACAGCAGCCCATTTACTAGACAGGGAAACTGAGGTAAAGGGGAGATTCTGACAGAGTCGGGTACAGGCCTACCTTTTGGGAAGCAGCCATTCTAGGCTCCTGCTTGGGCAAGAAGGGCAATTTCCACGGGTGGCTGAAGCAAGCCTGGCTGCCCCTGTCCTTCAACTTTCACACCCCGCCTCCCTCTCCCCAGACTCCCCAGTCTTCTCTGGCAGAGCAGGTGCTCATTACATAGCTATTCCGCCAGTCTCTGGGGGCCACAGGAGAGCCCCAGGCTGCTGGGGGACCAGAGGACCCTGAGGGGCAGCCCTCCCCTGGGCCTCACCTGGCTGGGGGTCCCCTCAGGGGCCCCCTCCTCACTCTCAGATTCCTCCTCACTGCTCTCTGAGTCCTCTTCTGGCTTCTTGGCCCTGCCAGCTGGGGTCACGGCACCTCCCCTGACTTGGGGTGTCACAGCTCCTGCCTTCCCAGGGGTTGGGGCTGCCCTTCTCCCTGCAGACTCTTTGGCAGCGGCTGGCGAGGCTTTGACCTGGGGTGGTTTTACTGAGGGTTTCACCTGGAACAAGAGGATGCAATTAGAGAAGGAATAATAATCTTTACTCCTGAGGGTAGAAGATGCTTCATGGTATACAAAGCCTTTTCCAAATGTCATTTGATTCCAACAACTCCCTGAGATAGATAATATCTTCACACCTGTTTTCCAGAAAAGGACAAGAGGTTCAGAGAGGTTAAATCACTCAAGACCAATACTAGGGGCAAAGCCATGACTGGAAGCCCTATTTGTGTGGCTTCAGGGGGCAGAACTTTCAACCACTGTGTCGTACACAGGGCCAGCACAGAGAGGCGCCTCTGTCAACTAGGACAGTGCATCCTGTCTGCCCCTGCGACTACAGTCTTTGGCCATCCTGAGGGCCAGGATCTGAACACCAGTCTTGCCACTGGCTCACTGAGATACCATGGGCACACTGCTTCCCTCTCTGGGCTCCTTCTTAAACTTCTCAAATTCTGAGGTTTCCAAGGCAGGCAGCTCCTTTCCATCTCCATCATCAGTTAGACCTCAGCCCTCCCTGGGCTTCTAGGGCAGCCATCCCCTCAATCTCAAATTCCTCCTCACTGCTGGGACCCTGGGCTGGCTTCTGGCCTACCAAGGCTATGGAAGTGGCTGCTGGTTTCCCAGGGCCAGGAATGGCCTCCTTTCCCTTAGCAGGGCCTTGGGGGATGGGAGCCCAGGGCATCATCGTGGCTGTATCTAGGGCCCAAAGGTGAAGATGGAATGTGGGGAGCAATCCACAACCAGACCTAGGGTAGACAGGAGTAAGGTGTCTGCCTTTGTGGGTTACTGGGTGCGGTGGGAGGTGAAGTGGGAAGTACTCTAGGCACCGGATCCATCCATCCTTGAATCCTACTGGTTCTCCCTCCATAACATCCTTCCACTGGGTGCCCTGGTGCCAGCCACCAGCACCCCTATCAGCATTACTCCCATAGCCCCCTCAACGATCTCCCTATTTTTATGTGGCACTGTCCTCCAATCCAGGCCACAACCAGGAAACTTTTTGAAATGGGCCATCTTACCTCTGTGCCTGAAACCCTGAAATGGCTTCTCACAGCCCCTAGACTAAAACCCAAACTCCTCCCATGGGTCCTCACAGTCAGGCAGTGGACCTGGCCCCTACCTGCCTCTGACCTCATCTGTGTCACTTGCCCCCTCATTCACACATTGCAGATCCTTGTTACTGCTCCTCATGGCTCTCTACTTTGGCCCTTCACAGTAACTATCACCCTTGTAGTTAAATTTCTGAGGGACCCTCCACTTCCCCACAGCAGCGGGAACCCTGCACGACTTGCCTACCACCGTGTTCCTAAGGCCTGGCACCTGGCAGGTACACAGTGAGGAATGACTCCCTGGTCACAGTTCAGAGAAGAGACAAGGCCACAGACTAAGAACCGCCCGTCTCCGGCCAAGTGCCGAGGCCTGGCATTCACCAGTGGGCCCAGAACCCCCTGAGCAGCCTCACCCTACTCACTCTGGCTGCACCACAGGATGGCCATCCTCCCACCTCGGGGCCTTTGCTCATGCGGCTCCTCCTGCTTGAACACTCTTCCCTCCACATCCCTCCCTGATGCGGTGCCCTGGGCATCACGTCAAGGCCCTGCTCCAGCACCACCTCTCCCGGGAAGCCTTCCCTTGTCCCACAGGCAGGATGGCATCTCTCCCACACAACCCGAGACCCTTCTCACAAGCAAAGTGCTCCCCTCCCTCCCCAGGCCTCTGCTCTTCCAGTTTCGGATCACCCTGAACCACTTGCTGAACTGATCTGGTCCCACTGGTGTGTGAAGTCCAGGCCAGGCCTCTGGGAGGGTCAGCGGTTTGCAGAAGGCAGCTCCTGAGGGTGGGTGGCAATTACCTCCACGTATGTTTCATCACTCGAGGTGGAGGTGTCCTCACTGGAACTGTCAGCCCGGCCTGCCGATGCCATTCCTGAGGGACGAAGAGGGAGGGGCCTGAGGGCCACCCTTTCCAGACTTGCCTGCTCCTCCCCAGCACTCCACCACGCCATCTAATCCGAGCCAGGTGCTGAAAACTCACTTCTTGTGTGCAGAGCGTCAGCTCCACCCTCTCCTGAAGCCCCACAGCTGAGGTGGGTACCACCAGAATCCCTATGTTCTTGTACACCTGAGGCCCTGGTAAGGGTTACAGCAGGTCTGAACACACATGCACCAGCACCTGACGGCTTAGAAAATCACCTTCCATCATCACACTGAAGCAGGAAGGGCAAACGCCTATTTTACCTGAGAAACTGAGGCAAACCCAGGCCTCTCGGTTTAGTCTCTAAGGCTCCGTGGTGGGCCCTCTACTCACCTGAGAGCAATAAACCAGAAAATGCTCCACCACCACCCAGCCTGCTCAAGCTCCCTCGGGAATGCCGGACATGCCCCTGCAGGTGACCCTCCCTCACTGAGGGGAGGGGAGAATGGCCAGAGGCGTGGGGTCCTCACTGTCTGGAGACAAACCCCAAATTCCAGAATGTCCCAGAGCTTGAGAAAGCAGTGCCCAGACCTGCCTCCCCAGCACAAACTCAGGGGGCCTGGCTCCTGGAGTTCGGGGCTCCTCACCAGGCTTGGCAGCGGTTCTGAGGGCCGGGCTGCAGGCCTCCTCCTCAGTTTCTGAGAACACGATGATATTTGGCGAGGGCCCTGCCAACTTCCTGGGCGACTTACCAGAGAGGTGGGCCACTGCCTTCCCGGAGGCAGGGCGTAGCGTGGAGTTCACCGTCTTGCTGGCTTTCGCGGTCTTTGCCTACAGAGAACAAGTGACAGACACACTTGGGTATGGCCTGGTGAACGAAGAGCACAGACCACATCTGGACCCAACTCTACCCGTTCTGAGCTGCGGGAGTTTGAGCGAATTACCTCTCTCAGTCTTTCTTCATCTTTAAAGTGGGGCTAAGAAAGGTACCCCCCTCACGGACGTGTGGAGAGAACCAAATTATGATTCTTGCAACGTGGTATTACTCGCAAAGTGGGAAGCAGCAGCCTGTTGTGGTTATCATCACCACTGCACTTCATAATTATTCTTACACATTGTTACTAACTCCTGTTACACATCCATTACATGTCTCTAACACTGCTTTCCGGATTGCCAGAAAATGATATTCTACTTTCTAAGCAGTTTCCAGGCTAGAAAATGCTTTTAGAGCTTTCAGAACCACAGGCATCCCATTCACTACGGTGTCTTCACTGCCCCGCACAGTGCCTGGAACACAACTGTATCTGTAACGATTTGTTCAGTGAACAGGTGAATGCAGGGATGAAGGAGGAAAGAAGCTGTCTATTCCAGGTGCATAATGTACCAGTGGCCCGTGGCAGTAGGCATCACCCCCATCTTACAGAAGAGGAAACTGAGGCCCAGAGAGGCGAAGGGACTCACCAAGATCACATGGCTGGTGACTCAGGCTGAGATCTGATTGGGGGTTGGGCAATTACCTACAACCCCATCCTTCTCTGACACAGGCGACTGTCCCCTACAGGGTACTTCAACTCCCATGGGCAACAGCTTGGAAGGGGGTCCCACTCACCGTGGCCTTTTCTTTCATGCTTGCAGGCAAAACTGCCCCCACCACTGAGGAGTTGGTAGATGCTAGTCTTGGGGCTGCAAGACACAAACACCCGCTGGATGAGCCAGATGAGCTTTTTCTCATCTAAGAACAGTACACAGGTTTCAGCTCACCTAACAGTTCCAGTGGTGTGGCTGCCTGGTGCTGGCGTGAGGATCTGAGGCTGAGCCCAGACTTGTGGGAAGAGCTCTCTGGGGCACCAGCCACATCCATCAGGGGCAAGAGAGAGAGGCAACATGAAAACTACATGTCTGCATCCCCAGTGGAATCCCAAGTCCCTGGTGGCATGAGACACTGAGGCCCCCAGAGGAACAAGGATTGGCTCACAGTCCTGCAGCGTATACCACGAAGGCACTGCACAACTCCAGGGGATGCCAGTCCCACAGGCTACCGCACCGTGGCCCTGAAAGTCACTCAGCAAGACAGGGGCAGTGGTCAGGCAGGCAGGCCCAGGTAGGGAAAGCTGCTCAGAATTGAAACTGTTTCTTAGTGGAGAGGTAGCTGAACCACGAGACAGGGACCTGATTAGATGAGGAGATTTCTAGATACTTGTGCTTTTACACAAGGGTGTTGTCTCCTTATATCTCAGATAGGGAAGGATTTCTAAGATAAACTGTGAAATCAAAGGATGCTGTTGAGATGAATGGCGTGATCTAGTTCTTTTCCTGGCATTTAACTCCATCTCTCTCTTTTTTGTAATTATGGAAAATTTTAAGAACATTCACAAGTAGAAAGGAAGTATATTGAACCACCCCGCTCCAACCATTATCAACTTGTGGGCAATCTGATCTCAACTGTCCTCTCATTCACCCTTCCCCATCCAGTATCATTCTGAAGAAAATGCCAGACATCGTATCAAGTTGCCTGCAAATATTTCAGCATGTTTCTCTCAATGAGAACTCTTAAAACATATAATTTATGTTTCAATTATTCATTACAATTTCATTATCAAAGCTTTAAAGATTCATTAACATCGAGTAGCCACTCAGTACGCTATCTTACAACTTTTGTTTTAAGTGGTAGGTGCGTATGGATGTATGCATGTCTGGATGGCTATATGACTGGAGGTGCAAAGGAGAAAGTTTTAAGGTTACCCTCCAGGAGAGGCAAATAGGGAGTGGGAGGGGAGCAGGGGAGGAGAGTAGGAAACCTCCCATTGTTCTTCTATACACTTCTGTACAATTCAAAGTGAACTTGGTTTGCATTTGTAATTTTAAAACATTAAGCAAGATATAAAACATATATTCAGTATGAGCTCAAATATTTTTTAAAACATGCTCAGGAAAAATAAATGGAAGAATAATTTACCAAATTGTAGGTGGCAAGAACATGGGTAATTTTTCCTGCCTGTCTTAAAAGTAATTTTCATATATTCCATAATGAATACTCTACAATGAATCCTCTATTTCTTTCACAATCAGAAAATATGTTTAAAAATTTAAAAATTACCTTCTGTGTGAACAAGGACTACTAATACAATGCAGAGAAGAATGACAATTCTTCTGTGGAGTTAGGGCTACTGTTGGTTAAAGCACAAACTGCCTTGAGAACTTGGGGCGAAGGGGCTGTGACGTCCTCACTGGGTGAGCCCTGCCAAGGCTGTCAAACCAGAACGCCCAGGACAACCTCCCAGTACTAACCTGCCACTTCCAATCTAACAGGAAGATCAGCAACTCTCGAAGCAGCCCGCAGGCCACACAGAAGAGGCGCCCGCCAGCTGCCCTGTCTGAAGTCTCTCTAGAGGTTTTTCTAAGTGTGGGCTTCTTTCTATCTTTATCAGAATCTCCAGGGGCTTCTAGAAATGCAGCTCCTGGGCACCACTGGAGGGGCTGACTGCATGTCCCCCAAATTAGGCTGTAAGGGCCCATCTAAGTTTCATTCACCATTAGATTCCCAACACCTAGGGGCACAACATTTGGCACAGAGGAAAGGCTTGAATAAATGGTGAAATAGACATGTGGGGCACTTCCAATTTTCCCTCTAAAAGGTCTTGGTCTTCCCAAGGCTCACTGAAGGAGAAGCTGGAGGAGATTCTCCCTTGAAACAATACAATACCCAACAGCTTGTTCCCAGGAGGTGCAGGGCCCTGGGCTGAGCCCCCACAAGCACCCACGATCGGGACGCCCCCAGCACGCAGGACTCTTACTGGCTTTGGAGGTTTCAGCTTCCGCCTCCTCCTCCTCCTCCTCTTCTGAGCTCTCCGAGCTGCTAATGGGGTCTGACACACGGGTCTTCTTGGCCTGCAGTGCCGCATCTTCCTCTGCCTTCCGCTTCCGGCCAACCTCTGAGGTTCTGCAGGACAAGGGTGACTGGCTATACCAACCGGGTGACAAGGACAACTCCAGATTTGAGAAGAAAGATCTTCCTACATCCTCCCACCTTCCCTAAAGGAAATGTGCGTAAAGAGAGTTTAAACAGTGATGAGAACACGGTGTAGACACAATTCTGTATCTTGACTCATTTCATAAAGTGTTTTTACAATTGTCTATTAGCCTTCGAATATAGTTATGCTCTGCATAATCATGTTTCGGTCAATGACAGACCACACACATGATGGTGGTCCCGTAAGATTAGTACCATACAGCCTAGGCGAGTAGCAGGCTATACCATCTAGGATGCATAAGTACACTCTATGAGGCTTGCACAACCACGAAATCGCCTAATGACGTGTTTCTCAGAACGTGTCCCGTTGTTAAGCGATGCATGCCTGTAACCAGGAAGGGTGGACATTATATAGTAACAGCAGCTAACAGTCATTGAGTGATATGTGCCGGCACGGGCAGGCACTTCACAGAACCATCCAGGCTCCTCCCTCCTCCAGAACTTGTGCACCTCCAGTGCCCTCTTCCTGGAAGACTCGCCCAGGTCCTTCCTGTCCTTCAGGCCTCAACTCCAGCAGACCCTCCTCAGAGAGGCCCTCCCTATCAGCCCCCTTCCCCAAGACACCCTCTGCCCTGTCATCCTGTTTCGTTTTCTTCAGAGTGCTCCGCTCTCTCGTTGTTTTACTTACTTCCTGCCCAACTCCCCCACTACAGTCAGGCCCGGGGAGGGGTGGCTGGTGGGAGTCTTTTCTGGCTCACTACAGTACCTCCAGCACACAGCATGGGTCTCAAAAAATGGACACCTAAGTGACTTGCCCAGGGTCAAAGAGCAGGTCTGGGGTATGGTCAGATAAGCACCCAGATGGCTGAGTCCCCAGAGCTTTCAAGCACCATCTCTGCCCCCACCCCCACCCGAGGCAGTCTCTGTCTATGCCCCACGTTCTCTACTAGGATAGACTCTGCTCTGCCACAGTTTAAGATGTGCTGCTTGGGTCCCTTGTTCCCAGGAAGGCCACTGGTTGGGAATCGCCTGCAAAAACAGGTTTCATTTACCACACGAATCAACTCGTTCTGCCTCTCTCCTCCTAAAAGAATCTAAGTTCCACAAGGGCAGGGATTTTTCTCTGGTTTGTTCCCAGGTACACCATGAACAGTCAGTCCTGGCTCATCGCAGGTGCTCAGTAAATACTGGGGGGAAAAAATGCCTCCAATGGCCAGGATTAGCACTTTATTTACTATTATTACCCTCATTTTACAGATGAAGACAGACTCCGAGGCCATGTTTACTCTTGGGCTTGAACCGTGCTGGGAATTACTAGGCTAGGCTGCCGCTGGTGGACGGGAGGTCCTCGTCCCACTCAGTACCCGTCACCCAGAGAAGGGGCCAGGGGCAGGGAAGGGCATGCAGTGCAGCTCACTGAAGTGATTCTCCGAGGAAGGAAGTGCTGTGGGTAACACTCAGACAACCCGGGCAAGTCAGAGAGGGTGAGGGAGAGGAAGTGCAGGCTGTGCCTGTGCTCTGAGCTCACCTCAGCAGCAGAGGAGGCCCAAGAACTGAGGGCTGACAGGGCTTTCAAAGACCTTAGCTCTCCACTGGCAACTGGGAGCCCTTCCACATCATTCCTGCTTTACTTACATACCTCTGATGACAGGAAGCTCACCACTCCACTGTAGCCTACGTCATTTTTGGATAGCTTTGATGAGCAAGTGCGTATTCAGTAGCTGAAACCTGTCTTCCTAAAGCAGGTACATATGGGTCCCACAGAACATGTCACTCCCTTTGTCCTCAAAGACGTGCAGACAGTGGTCCCACACCTGCCCCTCTGCCATCTTTTTCCATCCTAGACAATTCAGTATTCTTTATCACTCCTCATGGGGCATCACTGCAAGTCCTTCACTCACCTTCCATGCAGGTGCACAAGCTAGACACCCAGGAGTCAACGAGACACCTCTCCACTCCATCCACAGATCTTGGTTTCCTCCCCTAATATTCCTGGAATCCATCGCCTACCTCCTCCGTTAGTCCTGTCTCAAGCCCCATGAGCTCCTGCCTGGAAGCTGGTGTTCAGTCTCACTCAGAGTGATCTCATCACTCTCTCCTTCACCTGCCATGGCTCCCACTGCTCTTGGGGTAAAGACAATTTCTCATCACGGATGATCAGGCCTTGCATAGGACGGGCCCTGCCGACTGCCCAGCCTTGTCTGTCCCGTGCTCGCGGTGACGGGCCTCAGCGCCAGCAGTTCCCTCCGCCAGGGACACTCCTCCTGCCTCTCCATCCTATTGCCTAGTTCACTCCCCGACTCCCTGCGCTCTCACATCAAAGCTCACCTCAGGGAAGCGTCCCCTAACCCCCTAAACGAGGCAAGGCTAACCCGTTTGTGAGGTTCTGGCTCCAGGTTCCTCTTTTTCACAATCTTTACTACCACTGTAATTTTACACGTCTTTGTTTCATTCTTCGAGGAACGCCTCCCTCCCTGACTCCAACTTCAGCTCCAGGAAAGAAGGAACCATGTCTGTCTCACATCTCCATACTGAGAACAGAGCCTGGCATTCAGTAGGTACCCAATAAATATTTGTTGATTGAATGAATAACAAGCTGTTGAGAAGCCTTTGTCCTTCAAGACACTGATTACAGCTCTCAATATCCTTTCCCACTCCCATACATGTGACCTGGCTTCCTGGGGGTGATAATGGCATCCACAGAGGGCTGAAGGGACAGATCTTAGACCAGATTAGTATCCCAGCTTCTTCCAAGCTTGGGGGTGTCCCTGCTCCACTCCTTCATCCCCGTGAGACTTACTGCTGCCAGTGCGTATAGATGTCCAGAAGGGTTACAGGCTGAGTCGGGAAACTTTTCTGCAAAGAAGTAAAGAGAAAGCAGCAATTAACCCCCCACCACAGTAAGGGTCCTCCTTGGGCCCAACTCTCCATGACCTCATGACTTGCGCAGACAAGTGGTTGAGAAAGGGATCTTTTCGCTTTGAGAAATAAGTCTGCTTGGTCCTGCCAGTACCATCCAAACGGAACAAGTATTTCCAGCTAAAACCTTTTAAGACAACAAGTTGGTGAGAGGTACCTTTGATGGACTGGAGCTGGAATCTTCCAGGCTAGCATTTATCCAGCCCCCTAGCCTCCCTGGCACTCTCTTCTCTTAAAGGCCACGAGACAGAGCTTTTTCTACCTCTGATCTTTCAACAGGCTTTTAAAGGCCAGGTGGGTCAACCTCCCCAGGGTAGTACAAACCACAGCCCAGACACCAGAGGCATCCAGGTGGCATGACTGCAGCCCACTCACCCACTGAGAAGAGACTGGGACCAAATGATGCCAGTCCCTTGGTAAAAGCAGAGCGAACCAGCTGGAATCTAGGCCTTCGGAGCCAAGGCCAGCGGTCCCACTCTCTCTGCAAATGTCAACAACTCAGGGTGTCAAGTGCCCCAAGGAGCCCCAAGGGCAGTGTCCGGGGGTGGGGGCAGAGTGGCCAAGAGGGTGCACCTGGAGCCAGGCAGAGCTCCTCTGTTAACTGGCTGGGTTAATCTCGTCACCTCTTCAAGCTTCGGGTTCCTTCTTTATAACACAGGGACAATAGCAGTACCCACCTAGCAGGTTGCTATCAAGCCTGAATGAGATGACCCAGTCAGTGCCCAGCACACGAGCCAGTAACACTGAGACTTTGAGCGTCAGTTTCACTCTACTCCGCCCCAAGTACACTGGTCTCCTCACTGTCCCTCAAATGTGTCAGGCTACCCCGCCCCCATCAGGGCTTGCTATTCCATCTGGAATGTTCTCTCCTACTAACTATACAGATCATTCCCTCAGTTCCTCCAGGTCTCTGCCCAAACATCACCTTCTCGGTGGGGCTTCTTGACCACCCTATTTATTACTGAACCTGACATTCCTTATCCCCCGTGCCTGACTTATTTTTATAGCTAACACCTACCATCACCCGACACACCATACCAGTAACTTTTTTTTATATTTGTCATCTGTCTGCTCCTGCTAGAGTGTATGCTCCATGAGGGCAGGCTACTTTTGCCCAGGCAAATGCCCCAAAGAATGGGTACTGTCTCTTGCTCCTCTTAGCTGTTAAGTGATATAACTGGAGTAAGAAGGGCAACTGAGGTCCAGCGAGGGTTGGGAAAAGCATAGATAAGGTCTTAGGGCCCATCGCCCTCTATTCTCTCGAGCAGGTCCTGAGAGCAAGCATCAGGACCAGAACCTACAGCATATTGACCCATCAGGTCAACAGCCACCATACCAGCTTAAAACCTTCCAGGGGCTCCAGATGAAGACCGAACTGTCCACAGTAGGGCTCCAGCCAGCTCCTCCACTGGCTCCCCAGAGACCTCTATCACCCTGGTACTTCACACTTCAGCCACAACGAGCTTTCCTGAGGCCAGGAAATACACCACAAGTTTCCTCCCACCACAGGGCATCCGCACCTCTGCCTGGAATATCCACTGCCCTTCTCTCAGGTCTCAAATCGACATCCACTTGCTCAGGAAAGCAGCCCTGGAGATCGCTGACAAGGGCAATCTGCCACCCCTATCTTAGCACCGTATCCCTCTCATTCTTGGCACTTAAAGTAATGTTAAGTGTACAGTTACTTTTGGGATTCTTTGATTTATGTCTGTCTCCTCTACCGGATTTAGACGGTAAGTTTTAGGAGGGCTGCGGGACCGTGCGCTCTGAGCACCAGATTAACAGCTGCGGAAAGAATGAATGGAGTAAGAAATGACCGCACCACGAGTTCGAATCCCAAAGCTGTCCGACGCAGTACAGAAGGACTGCTACGGGCCTGAGCTCCAGCTCAACTGAGGGACCACAGGCCCCTTCTCCTGGCGTTCTCCTTTGCCCTCCGGGGCTGGTCGCTATCCACCCCTCAGACTCGCAGCATCCTTTTCGCCCGAGGGGGCCGCGCCGGGCCACGTGGCCCTAGATGTAAGAGACTTTAAACTGCCGCCACCCGGAAAGGGGGTGGAGGTACCGGGCGCGGGAATTACAAAACCCTGTGCGTCCGACCACACGTCCCGACCCGCCCACTGTACAGATGGGAAACTGAGGCCGAGAGGGCCTGGAGCCGCAGGAGGGGGCAGAAGCTGCAGCTCCTTCGGCACCCCTGGCCGCGTCCCCAAGCACCGCAGGATGCGGCTTCGGGCGCCCGCGAGGCGGCCAGGGGAGGGGGCGCGGACCGCCGCTCTCCAGACCCTGCACGCGGCCCTCACACACGCCCGCGCCGCTCACCTGGCCGCTCTGCTCCTTCACCTCCCGCGCCGCGCGCACGTAGCCCGCCTGCAGCAGGTGCTGGTAGATCAAGGGAAGCAGCTCCCGCCGCTTCCTAGCCTCGGCCATGCCGGCGACCCTCAGCCGGTTACCTCACCTGCACGCCCCCCTCAGTCCCCGCCCGCCACTTCCCGCGTGCCCTTAGACCTCGCGCGCCCCATTTCCGGCTCCTCTTTCGCCTGGGCCGCACGGCGCGCCGGGAAATGTAGTCTCATCTGGAGTGACCTAAAGGGGCGGAGACTTGGAGAGCAGCGAGACATCCCATTGGCGGGGAGAGGGCGTGGTTAGACCTAGGCGCGCCCCGCGGCTAGCCAAGACGTGAGCAACTAGCTCTGCGATGCTTCAGACTGGCCCCTTGAGGAGATTAGTCTTCCATGTTAGTTCCTTGATGGTTGCGATCGGGTTTTAAATATCTCTGAACATCCTAATTTGCGTCTCTCTCTAGCTCTGAACTTTCAGTTACCCACTTGTTTATTCATTTCACACTTTTTTAGGACTCATGAGCCAGGCACTATTTGTCATCATTCATTCACTGAACAAATCGTTATTGAGCACCGTACCTTGGGCTAGCGCTCAGATAGGGTGGAGGGATAAAAAGATGAATAAGACACGGCGGCTGCCCTCACAGCTCACGGGGAAGAGAGGTACAGTCGGTAACCAAGCAACTATGGTTCAATGTCTTATGAGCTTTGTCGGGGACAGGCCCATACTTATGTGAGCAGAAAGGAGGGGCACCTAGCCCCAAAGGGACATCTAAGTTGAGGCTTAAAGATGGAGTAGGAATTTCCAGGTGCAGAGGAGAGGACTGGGATCCCAGGCAGAGCGCACTGCCTGAGTATAGACAGGAGAAGCCACCCCAGCATAGGCTGGAAACCCAAACGTAGAACCCAGTCTGCGCTGCTGGGCTGTAGACTCTGGGGGAAGCTGGAACAAGTGACAACGCAGGAGGATGAAGAAGCAGACAGGGTCTACAGCACCCCCTCCTGCCGCAGAGTTTGCATTTTGCTCCAAGGGCCTTAGATAGTCTCTGACGGGTGTTATGCAGGAGGGTAACTTGGGTTTGTGTTTTTAAAAGATTTCCACGACCAAAGCATGGAGGATGGATCTGTGGAGAACAATACTAGCTGCGAGGCTGTTGTAGTTGTTGAGGTGACGTTGGCAGAGAGAGGATGAGCGAGGCTGGGGAATATTTGAATCAGCTGTTCTTAACTTCATGGACCTGTTGACAATCTGAAGAGAGCATGAACCACCTAGCCTTTACTGTAGAAAATTTTGAATATGTACAGACACATAATATTTTCCATCCAATTTCAGGACAGTGATAAGCATATACCTGAACCTCTTAGGGTTGGGAACTGCTGCTCCAGGAAGAAACAGGGATAGGACTAGACGACTGATTGAATGCAATGAGTAAGAAAGGCTAATCTGCATTCAGTCATTTAGCAAATACTTGTTGAGCACCTGCTACTGGGGATGAAAAAGTCTCCACTCCAATAGAGCTTACAGTCTAACTGGGGAGACGCTGCTAAACAAACTGTCATACTGATACACTGTTATAAACAGTCAACAAATGCAGAAGGAAAAGGATAGTGTTTTCTTATGGAACAGTAGAATGTTTAAAAGCTATGTTGGAGTCACACTGTCTGGGTTCAAATGCTGGCTTTGCCTCTTGTTAACTAGGTGACCTTGGGTAAGTTACGTAATTTCTCTGTGCCTTGGTTTCTTCATCTGTAAAATAGAGATAATTATCATTTCTACCTCATAGGGTTGTCATGAGGAGTAAATGAGTTCTAAGCAGAAATGCTTAGAAGACTTCCTCACAATAGTGCTGTGCCTTAAGTATGTTAGCCATTATTGTGAAAGCATTTAACGGGACGGAGGGATCTATTTTTTCTTTGAGGTTAGGGAAGGATTCCCTGAGGAAGTGATATTTGTGAGGAAATATGAACTATGTGTGGGGGAGGATGGTCGGGGGGCGAATCCTAGACAGAGGGAAGAACCTGTGCAAAGAGCCTGAGGAAGAAGGTACAGCTGAGCGAAGAGGCTAGAAAAGATCTTTGTAGCAGGGCCTAGAGGGAGAGCAAGGGGATTGGGGAGTGTAGAAGGTGGGCAGAACCAGATTGCACATTAGGGATCTTTCTCTTCATCCCAAGAGTGATAGGAAGCCACTGACAGTGTGGGCCCAAGAGGGACAGGAGGACATTTGAATTTTAATGTGACCCATGTGAATGTCCAGTGGAGAGTGGAGGAGTAGGGGTATGAGTAGATGTGGGAAGACAGGGTTAGGAGTGCAAGCAGGCATCCAGGGAGAAGAGAATGGGGGTGGTGCTGGTCGCAGAGGAGTTGAGAACCTTGAAAGGTTCCAGAGTTATCAGGAAGTAAGATTGTCAATGGAGGGTCAGGAGGGAGGGTTAGGATGGACTCTGAGGTTTCTGAGCAAACAGGCAGGCAGTGACTGTCACTGGGACAGGGAAAACTGGAAAGGACTGGGATGGGGAGCTGAGCAAAGAGGGGAAGGCATGGAGGGGGACACGAAAAGTGCAAGTTCCACTTTAGACGTGCTGAGCTTGAAATGCTTTTGAGACACACAAGTGCTGATGCTGAGTAGGCACTTGGCAGCCTGGGTTTGGACTCACCTGAAGATGGGAAATTGTCAGTAGAGGGATGATCATGGAGGAGAAGAACGTGGAGAGAGAAGAGAAGGTGGCCCAGTTCGGAGCTCTGAGGCACACCCACAGGTTAGGGCTGCACAAAGGAGGATGTACCTTTGAAGGCTGAGAAGGAACAGCCAGCGAGGTAGGAGAAAACCCAGGAGAGGGGGCGTAGGGAAGGGAGCCAGGGGAAGAGTCTCAGGAGGGTGGGAAGATCCATGAGGACTGCTCTGAGATGGATTGGTTTAATGACAGGCATGGGGATTGGTGGTGGCTATAGGGAGTGCTACTTCTGTGGAGTGATGGAGAAGGTCAGATGGCAGTGGTCTGAGGGAAGGAGGGGTGAGGGAGGCAGCGGGTCTTTTGAGAAGTTTTTTGTGTGGAGGGGAGGAGGGAGATGCTGTGACAGGTCACTGTGAGTGTTGTGGGGAAGCGTGTTCTACGGTGGAAGAGACCTGAGTTTGTTTACAGGCTGGTGGCAGATCAAGGGGAGAGAGATTAATTAAGGGTGTAGGAAATAGGGAGATCATCAGCAAGGGATGTTCACTAGCGTGTGCAAGGGGCTGGGATCAGGCGTGTAGGTGGAGGGGCTGGTCTTGGAGAGGAGGAGGAATGACTTCTCTAGAACCAAAAGAAGGAACAAAGAAAGGATGGGTGCAGATGTAGATGTAGGTTTGTAGTGGGATGTTAAGGGAGATTTCATCTTGAGCTTCTATTTTTTCTGCAAAGTGGGAGGCAAGGTCTTATGCTGAGAGCAAGGAAGAGGTGGTGAGGAGTTGGAAGGAAGGAGGAGAATGAGCATTCAGAGAGTGGAGGAGCAAACTGGCCCACAAAATCCCCAGTTGCCTGATAGTGTTGACAACCCAGGTGAGGTTGGTGATCATTCATGTATGTGTGTCCTGTCCTGTCAGCTCTGTGATTTCCCCCTGCCTCGCTCACCTACTCAGGTGAGGGCAGGGGGAAAGGAGTTCAAGGGGTTTACCCAGGTCTAGGACTTTGCCAGATGGCTAGAAAAAAGGGAAACAGTGTCTAAAGTGTTGGCAAAAGGGGTGCCCAATCTCTGGGCCCTGGGATCTAGGCTGGGTAGTGGAGGAGCGAGGACAGGTGCAGTTGATTTTCGGGGAGAGGGTGGAAATCTTTGTGGGCTGGGCGGCCATGAGCTCCCAGGTTACTGATTGGGTGGCTGGATGGGCCGCTCACTGAGAGAGCAACAGGGTGACGAGCATATAAATCATTGTGAGATCAGGGATCTTTTTGCACCCCTCCAAGAACCGATTTTCGCCCCCATGGGGGCATTATTGCCCCGGCTGAGAATGCACACCTTAGAATGTAAACTCCCTGATGGCAGACTCCCAGTTGTCTTGTTGGCTGCCTTATCCCCGACCGGCCGCAGTCAATAAATGCTGGCAAACGCAAGGGTGGTCACAACTTGTTTCCTGAAGAAGAGAGCAGGCAGGGTGCATGCCATGAGCATAGGCCTGGAAGCAGAAATGAGGAAGGCTTCTAGAAGGCAACGGAGAAGGAACTGGGTCATGAGTCCTTGGCTGACCTTGGAAGAAGTGGAGAACTGGTATTAAATTAAAAAGGAAAACCAGGATGGTCTAATACCTTCTGTCTGGTAACACGTTGTTTGTTTTTGTTTTGTTCCTAATAAAATTCATTTTAGGCACTTAGGCTTTGTCCTCAGCTCCTGGGAGGCTCCCGCTTCTGTGGACAATTTCTTTATATCTTTGATTTTCCAAATCATACCCTTCACCGAATTGCCTCGGGGCCCAAGCGCAAAATTAAAACATTAAGCTGATAAAATATAACATGGCAACAATTAAGACAGCAGCAAACAAAACAGCGCATTAAAAAAAATTAACTTCAGAGCATTTTTCTACCAGTTGGAAAAAGATGCCTTTGTTCGTAGTAGAAACCAGAAGCTTCCAGACCACTCAACCTCTGAGCGCCTCTCAGGTAAGCAGCATGCCTTAGTCATCTTGAATTCTCGAGCAGGGCACGGTGAGGGCACTCAGGAAATGAAGGAAGGAAGGACTGAACCCTTCTTTTCCCAGCAGGAGTGGCTCCTGCAGAGGTGAGAAGTGGCTTGATAACAAGAGAAAGGCTACTAGGCTAGAAGTCGGGAAAATACTTTTTTAGCCTGGCTCTGCTTGTGACCTTGGGCCAGTCTCTTGCCCTCTCTGATCCTCAGCATTTCTTTCGGTTTGAGCCTTTGGACAAAGGCCATTCCAGTAATGGAACTCTCAAGAGAGGCTGCCTTTGCCCTGGGACCCAGAGACTATCCCTTCATCCAATGTAACAATGGGTTCTCCCTGGACCAAGTCACTTTAGCTGGTAGTTTTCTCATGGCCTCCTTTCCTTTCATGGGATGACAATTTCTTTCTCTTTTCTTCAATCTCATTGGAGATTTTAAAGGTTTACAAAAGGTTTAACCGTTATGACTGAAGTAACAAGTCAAACAACTCAGACATATAAAGACGAAGTCAATCTTTTGATTGAGCACCCTATAAGGCATGTGACTAGTTATCAGCCCTGTTTATAGATGCAGAAACTGAGGCCCAGAGAGGTCAAGGCCTGGGCCATGCAGCCAGTGAGTGGCAGGATTTGGGCAGGCTCCAGCTGCCAGGGTGCTCTCAACATTCACCTGGACAGACAGAGGTGGGAGATAGTATGATAGAGGTTATTCACTTCTAGTTTTCTGGCTGATAAAACACTGGTGCTCTAAACACCCTAGTAAATACATCTTTACGGACCTTAATTTTTGTAGGATGGAATTAAAAGTGGGCCAGAGGGGATGCATGGGTTTATTTTAATAGCTAAAGCTGGATTAACTGCCAAAAGAGTTGTAGCAATTCACAGTCTCATCAGCGTAATTTCTTATTTATGTGGTTTTATTTCTCAGAACTGGAAGGGTCCTTGGAGAGTATGGAGCCCAGCTCTCTCCTCTTACTGATAATAGGCCCAGAGGTAGGAATTGACTTGGTGAGGTCTGCATTGGGATAGAGGCAGAGGTAGGCCCTGTCCCTTTTTGCCTGGACCACTGCCACGTGGCTCTTCCCTCCAGCTGCCTCTGCCTCCACCCTCCTCATCCCTGTCTGTTCCCCACACTGCATTTGGCATCGTATCGTTCCCCTGCTTATCAAAGCTCCCCCGGGTGAACCACTGACCCCGCGATCACATGCCTTTTAGCTTCCTAATAGGCATTCAAGCCCATCTCAGTCTGTTCATCCTTCAAAGTCAAGTGCAAACACCACCTCTTCCAGGGTGCCTTCCCTGACTGCCCCAGCTTCTCGCCTCAAGCACGGTCATCTCTGTTCTGCAATGAGGCCCCCTCTTCCAGCTGCTCCTTCTAGGAGGAGCCGCATTGCAGAAGGACCTGCCAGGAGGGGGCAGTGCACAACCAAAGAAAGGTCTTCCCGAAGGTCAAGGTCACCAGAGTGCCTGGGGCCCCCACAGGCCCTTTGGTATGCACCCCTTAATCTCCGGTGTAGACGCCTGAGGGAATAAGGGGTTCCACCCCATTGGGGTGACCTTTGGCAAGCCCTGTCTCTCCTGCACCTCAATTTGCATCTCTGTCAAAGGAGAGGGCTGGCCCAGTCCATTCAGTTTCTCAAAGTGTGGTGACGCATGGAGTGACTTCAGGAGATAAAGAGATGGACATTTTTAAATGGAAATCAGTATGTATTTATTTTAATGTGTATTAGACGAAAAATAACTAGCACATCAAACCTGTTATTTCACAGATATTATTGCTTAGAAGGGGCATTCAAGTAAAAAAACAGTGAGTCAATGTAAAAGAAAGTGCCAATTAAATAATAGTACAGGTGGTAAGACAGCGGTGAATGGCTGCGATCAGGGAAAACATCCGTCTGTCTTTGACGTTCTAAATTCAGTGATTTGCGTGACTCCTGCCCTTGCTAGAGGAGGCTGAAGGGAGGGAGGAGCTGCCCCAGGGAGCTGGGGCGCTGGGCCTGGGGCGGAGGGCAGGAATTCAGCAGAAGGGCTGGGCCGTCTCCCACCGGCAGACCCTCCCCCACCTGGGGATGGGTAGCGTTCCTGCCCCCGTCCCGCCTTCTTTCTCAGCTTCCCTGTAGTTACCAGGGAGTGGGAGGGGCCGTGTTCTGGAAGCTCATCTGCTCCCTCTTTTCCACCCAGCACCCTGCTTGGCATAACTATTCAGGGTGATGATTAACAAGGATGCAGGAAAGCACTGGGGGTGGGGAGAGAAAACAAGGCGGTGTGGACCAAGTTTTCTCATATACCGGAATGTCCAACCTGGAATGACCCTCTAATGATTCCCAAACTTGGCTGTGCCTTGGAATCATCCTGTGATTCAAAGAAATACAATTCCTGGGCCCCACCCCAGGCAATTCTGATTACGGGGCCCTCGCACCTACGTTTTTAAAAGCTCCCCAGTGGATTCTGATGCTTCTAGGTTTGGAACCACCACCTTAGATGGCACATCTCCCTCAGTGTACCTGTCGAGACACCAAGGGGCAAAGAGGTTGTGTCACTTACCCAGAGTCACCCAGCAAATCAACAGCAGATGTCCTGACTTCCAGCTCAGTTCTTCCCACTGAGCATCCCTTGTTGAGCCTAGTCCCTGGTTAGCAAAGAGAATTCCACTGACAAATGTGGTGGGATTCCTTTGATTTGAGCCTCCTTTGCCTCTGGGCTTGTCAAGGACTTTCTACAGAAGAGAACATGCTGTGTGAGCAGCCATCTGCTCAGAAGGCCGGAAGGGGAGGTGCAGGGTGGAGGAGGATGGTAATGGAGGGGGTGGCTGGAGATGCAGCTTCCTCTCTGCCGTTGCCAGCCTGCACAATTAGCCTGCTGAGGGCAGGAGCCAATTCGGATGTATGCCACCAGTAGCTGGGTTTTCACATGGCATCCTTAAGGAACAGAATTAGGAGCAATGACTGGGAGGCAAATTTCCGATTGAATTTTCTAACTGTGATCAGTGACCTGGGAGACAACTGACCCTGGAGCAATTGTCCAGCTCCCTTTTTGTCATTTTTTATGTAAAATATTTAACATATGAAAAATAGGGACAAATACATAGAGCTCCCATGTTCCCACAATCTGGATTATGAAATAAGACATCATGAATAAATAGGAGCTTCTCAGCCCATTCCCCTCCCTCCTGCCCAGAGGGAGTCATCACCCTGTTCCCTGAAGTTGGCGAGAATCTTTCCTGCACATATTTTCATATTTATGCTACATATGTATACGTTCATAAAACATATGAAGTATTGCTTTGCAGATTTTTAAAGTTTTTGTAAATGATAGAGGATCGTACAGAGCCTTCTGCAACTTGCTTGTTTTCATTCAACACTTTGTTTGAAATTTATCCCTGTTGCTGTGCAGAGTTCTGCACATACACTGCCACCACTCTAATCCATTTCACTGGAAGGACGTACCACAGTTTACTAATCCATCCTCCTCTTAATGAACATCCAAGTTATTCCAGTTTTCTGCAATACAAAGCACACTGCCATGAGCATCCTTGCTCATGCCCCCGCACACGCCTGGGGAGGGGTCTCTGGGTGCATGAGTTTCTTCAGGTTCACCCGCCATCACCCCACTGCACCTGAAGGGCTGGCCAGCTTCTGTTGCTCCACATCCAGACTCACAATGGCAATTGTCAGACTTCGGAATTTATGCCACTGTGATGGGGACCAAATGTCTCTCATTCGTGTTTTTAATCTGTCTGTCTCTGATCAGTGGGCCTGAAAGGTTTTCATCATTTTACTGGTCGTGTGGATTTCCTCTCCTGTGAATTACTTTTGCGGTCTGGCCCGTGTTTCCTTGGGTTGTTTGTGTCTTTCTTATTGATTTGTGGAAGCTCTAATCCTTGATCTGCTGCTACTGTCTTCTGCCAGTCGGTGGCTTGTCTTTTCACTTTATTGATGGAGTCCCGAAGCACAAGGGTTTTGCATTTTAGTGTAACCAGGGGCATCAGTCTCTTTCTCTATGGTCTGGGCTTCTCTGTTCTGCAGTCGACCAAGGCCATTTTGCCCAGCACAGCATCCTCCTTGGGACACCTTGTGTTGGAGTGAGAGGTGAATGGGCTGTCAAGCTGGGTCAGCCTGGGCTGAATACAGACTGAGAGATTTACAGGCTAGGTGAGCTTGGGAGTAAGTTACTTTACCTCTGGGCTCTGGCCTCCTCTCTTGTGAAATAGGGGTAGGGACAGTCTCTGGCTCTCAGGGATGCTGTGAGGCTGGAAGGAGGAGGGCAATGGCAGAAGTACTGAGACCCCGAGGGGAGGGAGGACTCACTGAGAAAAGTCTCTGGAGAAGTTGTCGCCTGAGACCTGTCCAATGTGGATGTCCCAATCTTGCCTGGACCAAAGGGATCAACACAGTCTCTTCAAATCTAACTACATCTCAGAGTGGGGCTGGGTCTCTGGAGGAATTGGGACACGTGGAACTCAGGTCGACCACTGCTTCCCTCCCACCCATGGCCCTGGGTCCTGTGCCTGTATTCGGTGACTCCAGAGGCAGGGACGTGTATGGAGTGACGTTCCTGATCTCGTAGGAGGGAGGACGTATACCATGGCTGCTGAAAGCCGCCCATTCACCCGTGGCAGCAGGCTTGGGAGAACATCTGATGGCTCCAAGGAAAATATCTGTCCTGGGGAAAGAAAAGGGCACTTTCACTCATATATAACCACATGCCAGCCCACACAAACAGGTCTCTTGAGGCCACAGCAGGAGAGCACCCCTGTTACTCCAAGTAATTTGTCCTGGGCAAGCACCCTCTTGGGGCAGAAGCATGCTGGGGGTGGAGTGGACAGAGCCCTCTGGGGTCAGCAGCCTTTTGGACAAGGCCACAGAACCCATGGTCAACAGGGCCAAAATATGCCTCCTTATTCACCCCACTTACTGACGCCAAATCACTCCACCATCGCCATCACGGAGGGGTCAGCCTGCTCAAGTGACCAGAGCTTGGGGTGGCAGTCAGGAGCGTTGTTTACAGCTGAAACTTATTTCTGGAGTAGGTGATAAATACGCATCGTGCAGAATTGTAAAGGAACAAAGAGGATGCAGAGAAAAGTAAGTCTCTCAGGTTCCCAGCCCTCTTCCGCAGCCTCCTGGGAGGAAGAATGTTACTGGAGATTATAGACATGTATGTATTTATATAACATTGATAGTGGCACGTTATACACACTATGGTAAATTTCACTTATTTTTTTCACCTCATCTTCTCTCTCAAATTTAGGACGTGGAATAAAACAGGCAGGAGTGAATGCCTGAAGAAGGGATAGATGGGGTGGTGGATGAATGAATGATGTTCATCCAGTTCAGGCTTTTTCTCAAGACTTATCTCTGACATGGGGAGGTCCCCTCTTCCTCCGGCGTGTCGCTGCAGGTGGGCGGATTCAGGCCTTCCTGACCCTGGCACAGAGCCGTAATGGGGGAACTAAGTGAACCAGGCAGCTGAACAGCTTAATTGTCATTTCCACCAGCAGATGGTTACCAGGGAAACTCAAGAATGTTCGAACTGGGAGGGGTTTTCAGGCAATGTGGAGGCAGCCTGACAGAATCTCAGTTTGGGGGGGGGGGTCCCATAAGTTCTTTAAGACTTTAATTTTTTAATATTTATTTCAGTGATAACCTAAAATGGTTAAAAATTATATTTTTGGATCATCTGGATGTCTGCCTGGCAACACTGCGTGGCCACGCGACTATGGCCTTGTTGGTGTTTGCATTTGTGATCACACTGGCTCTGGAATAATCAGTGACCCCACGGCCTCCTGGATAAACCAAGATTTTCACGTAGCTCTAACAGAGTAGGTTCTTACACTTTGTGTCTGCAGACCCCTAAGATCCCGGGACATATTCTTAGGATCAGGGAGAATTTTTTAAAGGCGTTTGTCTGTACATTGCCCAAGTGTGAGGAAGCCTGGTGAGGGTGAAAGGGCACGGATGGGGTTGGAGCCTGGATTCAGTCCTGCCTCTGCTTCTCCTTGGCTGGGCCCCCGGAACTCTTCGTCTCCTCTGCTTTAATTTCCCCATTAATAAAATAGGAATCAAAATGCCTTCCTTGCAGGATATTATGAAGGCAAAATGCGATAGTGAGTGTGAAAGTTCTGTCTTTATAAGCATGTTGAACCCTCTCATTTTATAAAGGAGAGAAATGAAGCTTAAAGAGGTGAAATGATTTTTCCAACATCAGTTATTGGCAGAGCTGGGCTGGGAACTGGGGCTCCTATCCCCCACCTGGCGCTTCCCCCACTGCCCCGGGCACCCAGACCGTTAGCCCTGGTGGTGTGATTCCAATTCCGGAAAGCGTAATAATAACATCTCAAGTGGGGCCCATCACTATTTGGGTAAATAGGCTATCTTTATTTTTATTTGTTAAAGAGATTAAATTAAGGAAACCAAACCAATAAATGAGCACATTGAACTCCCCACAGCAATACCTCCTTTCCTGGAGCAAAAACAAATTCTTCCTCAGGCGAAAGGTCGGACAGGAGGCATGTGGGGACGGCACACCCAGCCGAGGGCTGGAGTGCCAGAAACTTTGCTTCACCGCTTTGCTGGTTGAAGGGCCGTTGCATCGGGCACAGGGGCTTCAGCACCCGCTGCTCTGGAGGATGTGGTTTCAGGGTTGGGATCACCAGGGCAGCTGGGAGCTCCAGAAAGCAGGGACCAGGTTTGGTCACTGCTGTTTCTCCCAAGTTCAGCCCAGCCTTGCACATAGTAGGAGCTTGATGAGTGTTTAGAGGATGAAGGAATGCATGACTTGAGTCATGGTCTTTGTGTTTAAAGATTTAGAGGGGCCTCTTAGAGAAGACGTGTCTCACAAGTCCAGGCTCAAAATCAGGAGGTCAGGAAGCAAGGGAACTCAGGGTAGCAATGGCCTCCTGGCCTGGATTTCAGGACCAGGCAGGAGACAAGTGGAGCATGAGGATGTTCCAGAGGCTGATGTTAGACACAACAGGTTGATTGACTGATTTGTGGCATCAAGTCTGTTTGCTGAGCATCTTCCATATGTCAGGCCCTGTGCTAGATGCTGGGGCTCCTGAGCAGAGAAATTCCTGTATCCTGGGAACCCCCAGTCTATAATAACAAGCCCACAGTGATGAGGAAGAGTTTGTGCTCTGGAATCAGACAGATGTGAGCTCAGAACTCAGCTCCACAATGTGTGACCTTGAGCAAGCCACTTTACTTCTCTATGTCCCAGTTTCCTTCCCTGTATAATGGGATGAAGAATAACATCTGCCTCCTTGGCTGGTAAATAAGGTACAACCGTAAGTAAGGCACGTAGCACCTGGCACAGAGTGAGCACTTAGTGCCTGCTCTGCAGCATGACCATCTGACTGGGCCTGGACCCCCCTAGAGGATGGGCCCATCGCCTCCATCTGCCCTGAGCCCCAAGGGATTTCTCTGACCTGCCAGGAGGAAGGCAGCTCAGATGGGTATCTCCCATCCATGCACCGCAAGTTATTTATAGTTGGTTTGTTATTGTGGTTTTTGCAGTTGTTGTTATTTCTACTAAGAACATTGATGTTATGAATAAACTTGTGCATTTCTCTCAGTGCATGTGAACAAGAGTTTCTCTAGGGTGTACATAATAATAATAAACAACCGGAAAGGTAAGGGCACTGAGCAAATAGGATGAATGCTCTGGAGCTGGAACCTGGTCCTGGAGCTGTCTTGTGAGGCCAGGTGTTAACCTTTTAGTTGCTGGATCATGGGGCCATTGGGAGGTCCCCTGGGAAGGAGCTGGGACAGCCAGAGCACAGAGGGGCACACGGTGAAGCAGTAGGGGAGAGACTTGCCAATTGGCATGGAATTATTTCAAAATTTTAACAACCAGTGTGGTCAAAACAGTAAGCACTGGTGTATATGTGTCTGGGAGTATATATGAGCAGGAGTAGAATTGCTGGGTTGTTGGGAAAGAGAACAATTAACCTTAAAAATAATACCAGATAGTTTTCCAAATCATTTATCCCCATAGACATTGCCTCTAGCAGTAAGCATCCAGTTGATCCACATCCTTGTCAACACTTGGGATTGTCAGGTTCCTTATATTTTTGGCAATCTGGTAGGTGTAAAATGATGTCTCATGATGGTCTTAATTTGTAGCTCTCTGAATCCTAATGAGGTTGAACATCTTTTCATATGTTTATGGGCCTAGAGCTATTTGCTTAAAGGACGTGGACCTCTGACACCACAGATATTATTCTGCTACGTGCTTTAAATGAGAACTGGGTCAAATAGTATGAACAATGGGCGGGGGGCCAGTATACCTGGGTTCCAGCCTCAGCAGGGTCACATCGCCTCTCTGTGGCCTTAGGCAAGGCGTTTGGCTTTTCTGAGCCTCAATTTTACCATCAGCCAAGTTGGGGAGAGCCTTATGCTGCTCATAGGCAGGGCAGCTAAGAGAGGGAGTGAGATCATGGAAGGAAATGTGCTTTGGGGGCTGAATAGTCCTGTACCAGGCATTAGCATTCCCTCTTTGAAGACAATTTAAGAAGGCTTTGAAGCCCAGGGGAGCAGCAGCAGCCAGCCAACCTTCTGAAAGCAGAGAGCACCAGCTCCAAGGCTCGAATGAATGTCTCCTTCCTTCCCCGCCCCACCTCCAGGCACCTCTCTACCCCCATCAGGCAGAGAAGGAACAAATTCCATTAACTCCTGGCACGTACATGCCTTAGGGACCCTGAGGGGTTTTGGGAACCAAAACTTATGCCCAGGCAGCTCTATTGTGAAGCCGGCTGGCCCCCTGGGGCTTGGTCCTTCTCTGGGAGGCCTGCCACTGCAGGCTGCTGGGCCAGCAGGCAGCCACAGATTAGCTGCCCAGGCCAAGACACAGAGTGGCAGCCACATGACAGTGCCTAACCCTTGGGTTCATGGCTCTTTCCTCCATTCCTTTTGGCCTCACATTCCTCACCTGGCCAATAGCAGGAGGGTCAGCCTAGACAGGCATTTCTCAGAGCGTGTGCTGTGAGGCATTAACCATCAGGGATGGTGGTTAATGAGGGGAGGGAAGATTCTGTGGTGAATGAGACGTTGAGTTAAATTATATTTGCAGCTAACATTTACTGAATGTGCCAGGCGCTGGGCTAGGCCTTTTCCAAGCATTATCTCATTGACTTCTTACAGCAACCTTATGAGGCAGGCACTATGGCTGGCTCCATTTTACAGGCGAGGAAACAAAGGCTTTGCAGGGTTAAGTGACTTACCCAAGGTCTCTCAACTGGTAAATGGCAGAGCCGTGATTCAAACCCAGGGGACCGGCCCCCAGATCTCCTTTTCTTAATCAGGTTGAATTGACAGGACTTGGTGACTGAGCAGATTGTGAGGTCTGGGGAAAGGGAAGGAAGAGTTCCCTTGCCCTTTCTTTGATTCAGCTCAGTGTCAGATAGTGGCCTGGTGGCTGGTGGAGAAATACAATGAAGAAAAAAACTCCCCCCTCATTACCCTCCCAGAAATTCAGGTAGGGAGGTAAATTCAGCAGAGTATGAAAGCACACTGAGGTGAGCATGGGCAGACACAGCTCGCTGGAGTGGTCTCTTCCAAGGCAAGACCTGAGAGACCATTAAAATGTGAAGAGGGCAGGAAAAGGGCGCCCCAGGCAGAGGGAATAGCATTGAAAAGGCCAGGAGCTAGAGAGCATGCAAAGTCACATACACAGTGGATTGAGGGGAGAGGGGCATGAGAGACGAGGCCTGGACATCAGCAAGAAGAAGTCACCCAAGGCCTTGACTTTGAGGCTTCCATATTGGGGCTGGGACAAAGTAGGGGTGACAATGTTGAGGAAGTACTGGGGAAACAGTGGGCTGTTGGCTGAAGCTGGGAACGTGTGAGGAGGAGCTAGGGAGGAGGCAGAGGGAGGAGGCAGAGGGGATGGCGATAACGAGCTTGGCTTTGGCCTCCTCAATATTGGAGGGTGTCACGGCTAAGGTCTCTTCCAGTGCTGACCTTCTCAACTTCCCTGGAAGGAAGGAACATCTCCCTGCGGCCCCTCCACCCCCAAATATTCCGGGCAGGAAGGAGAGGGATCTGTTTTGTCAACGCAGTTTGCAATAAAGAATCTCATTCAGGGAGGCAAACAGCTGCTTGACTATTAATAGGCAGGGGCCTCAGCCGCAGCCTGCTGGGAGGGCCTCGGCATGCAGTTCTGGAAAGGTGAAGCGGCTCCTTCTGTCTGTCTGGATTTTGCACCCCGTGGTGGGACAATTGGCTGGGTGCTTACTTCTCGGAAGGTCAGTCCCCCTGAGCCCTCCCTGGGGCAGCTTGGAAAGGGTGTGGTCTGGCCCTGCTGTGATGTTGACTCTCCCCTTTCATGCTGGACCCAGCTAACAGGAGAGGGAGCCCAGAGGACCCAGAGCTGGCCTGAGAAGCAGATGTCCATGTGGACAGGGGAATGTCTGGTTGGGGTCTCCACAGCTGCTCTCATGGAAGGTCAGGCACCCACCCTTAAGGGGGTCACAGAGAGATCAGAGTTG